TTCTTAAGGGGATATCTGGAAAGCAAAGTCTACGTCAACAAACCAGCCACCCTCCAAGAACTCAAAAACAACATCATTGCCGAGATTAATGCCATAGAACCGACCATGTTGCAAAATGTCATTGAAAATTTCTACCATCGCGTGGACGTCTGTAAATCCAGTCGTGGTGAACATTTGAGCGATATTAATTTTCATACATAAATGGTATAAATGAACCTTCAAAATAAAGTACCCAACTTGATCTGAATATCAATCTTTCTTGTTTTAATATGCGTTTACTTTCCTGCGTTCGTTTTGGACAACTCCATATAATCAAATCACTAGACAAAAGCACCTAAAAACTAAAAAAATATCGCTGTATACAAATGTCAACAACAAGGTGTTCGACACGGCATGACGTACCACTTTCTGATTAGTGTTGCTTGTCTATTTCTTTTAATTTAACTTTTTCAAATAACAATAATCTATAGTTCTAATAATAAATGATATGGTTATCTCCAAATCATTATTAATCGTTAGAAACTATGCTCCATCTGATGTATTTCTAGTGGACACAAGCCTATCGTGACCAAGTGCATGCATTATTTGTACGCTTGCCTAACTACAAACAGTTCTATATCCATCGATTACGCCTGAGTTTGCCTAGTTTTCGAGCTTTGAAGCTCGTTTATTTCCACCCGTATTAAATTTCTAACCCTTTTCCTATACATTTGGATCTTCAAGGCAAGAATTCCTCGAAAATGATGAAAAAGTCTAGATTTTTTCTTTACTTCACCATCGTTGTTGGGGCCTCCAGTACTAGGTACCAAGACTTGAGAGATCCAGCATATTCGAGTGGGGCCCTGTGTAGCAGAGGTTGAATCAATATTACTAATGTATCAAAATAGTTCAGCTTTTACCTAATTTGAGGGAAGCTTCTCTGTTGTGTAAGATAAGCGAAGTTGTGCTTGTAATTGCATTTTACTGCCTTTAATAATATAGCACACCTAGAGAAGATTATAGGAGTCAGTAGGAGTTGATAGAATTTTTTAGAGTTTGCCGACAACTCAATTTACTGCTGTTTACAGGGTAAGTTTCATTACTTCTACTCGTCTCATCGCTGTATTAACAGAAAGTTGCATAGACTTTGTAGCAGACACTATCTCGTCTTTATTTCTAAAGTTAGCAAATAATGAAAATGCAGCTCCTAAAAACGCCTGTTTTATCATATGATTTCTTCTTTTGTGTAATTATGTAGGACACCCGGTATGATGCTTCAGTTGCAGCCTCACTTTTGTCGATTATTTTTAAAGACATTGTCTGTTGTCCAATTAATTGATTTTTCAATTGTTTCAGTTTTTCCGTTCTGGTTGCGGAACGTAATGGGAATGATTCTTCAAAATTTGAAAGTACAGTTTTATAGTGCTCCTCGATATTCCCTTTTTTAGAAGAAATATTGTACTTCCCATTCCGAATGGAAGTGGTATGTCTTCATCTTCTTACTACTGCTCATAATGTTTTTGATTGCAGGCCAACTCTAACCTAACCGCTGGACTTTGTGCCACTGCCACACTGTCGCCGCGCATGAAGTATTTATTCCGTTCAAAGTAATCTAGATCGTTCTCGAACAGATCGCTCACCGCAGTGTTGCCACTGGTTGTGTCTATTATGACAATTTACAAAATTTATGGAAGCGTCTGCACCTTCTTAAAATTTACTAAGTGACATATAAATCCGAACACCCAGTTTAAATGGTTTTATTTTAATAAAAGTTGGTGAATGTATTTATCTTACTGTAAATAACAAGTGAAAAAATTTTCAGCCTTATCAGTTGGACATTCCGATTTTTATACTGTTTTTTTTTATTCACTAACGCTCTAAAAATGAATATTTCAGCCGCAGTAAAGAATCAACGTTGGCGGATTTTGGTTCATGACATCCTTTACGATCGGTTACGATGCCTAGAGTACGGAGACTTGTACGATTTCGTCAACTTAGTGAGTTTGATAGTGGCCGTATAGTGGAAGTTCGGGAAGCTGGACTTTCTTTTCGGGCAATTGCAGTTAGAGTGCAAATAAGTGTAGACACTGTGGTTAGGTGTTGTCAGGCATGGCTTCGAGATGGCCGTACGCAAAGAGCAAGGGGCACTGGACGCCGCCGTAGAACAACAGACCGTGAAGATCGCCGCCTAAGATTATTGGCCTTAAGGGACCGTTTCTCCACTACCGGGTCCATTGCAAATGAATGGTTTGCAGAACACGGAAGACCTATTGGCATGCGAAGTGTTTACCGACGAATGAGAAGTTTTGGCTTGTTTTCATACCGGCCACACGGGGTCCTCCCTTTAACTCGAGAACACCGACGTAATCGCCTTGAGTGGTGCAGACAACAGTCACTCTGGGATCAGGAATGGAACAGTATTGTCTTTAGTGACGAGTCTCGATTTTGTTTAGGCATGCACGATGGTCGTGCCAGGGTTAGAAGGCGACGTGGTGAAAGGAGTAATCCACAGTTTTTTGTTGAAAGACATGTTCATCACACTGTTGGAGTTATGGTTTGGGGTGCTATAGCTTATGGTTCCAGGTCACCTTTAATCTTCATCAGAGGTAACATGAACGCGCAGCGTTATATCCACGAAGTTCTAGAATCCCATCTTTTACCCTATCTTGACACCCTGGCAGATCCAACTTTCCAACAAGATAATGCTCGACCACATGTTGCAAGAGTCACAATAGACTTCTTTCAACATAATGATGTCACATTGTTACCATGGCCACCAAGATCTCCCGACTTATCCCCAATTGAGCACGTGTGGGATATGATGGGCAGGAGATTGCTCAATTTGCAACGTCCTCCTCGGACTCTAGAAGCACTTCGAGAGGAGTTGGTGGTTGCCGGGAATGAGAGACAACAGGAGGATATTGACCACCTGATCAGAAGCATGCCTAGGCGCGTTGGAGAATGCGTAGCACATCAGGGTGCATCCACACATTATTATTATGCTTCATTAAGTACTTATACAAAATTTTATTAAAATGAAACCATTTAAACTAGGTGTTCGGATTTATATGTCACTTAGTATATGTTGTGAGCCACCTGATTTGCCTTTGCGAGCTACAGGTAGCTCTCGATCGACACTGGTCTAACGCGTCCGCGCCAATAGCTGATGCGCTAATGTACCTTCCAAAATAATCGTGGACGATGATACCTAAATAAGAGCATGAGGTATTTTATAAAGATTCCTAGGTTTGGTACATGCAGTATTTGAATAACTCTCAAACTACCCATCTTGCCTTTGTCACAAAACGAGATTCGTCGGCTGATTGCGTGGTTTCCTTTCAGATTTTCCAACGCATACCCGGATGATCTAAAATAGTGACTTCAGGGTATCCTATATTTAATACAAGTGCATCTCCAACATAAAATGCTTGGAATTCCTTTCTTAAAGTCGTATTCATGGCCGAATCTAGACACTTTCTAGGAAACCTATCAAAGGACTTCGAACGGCGTATGGACTATTGGTAAACAAAAGAAATCATATGTAACCTAGATCTGATTTAACATTCTTTGCAATGCAAAACGTAGGCTTTGCATTCAATCAATAATCCTTTCCAAATGCATCAAGGGTAATACATAAACTTCCCTTGAAAAGCTACCTGTCCTATTGAGTTTAGTGAATTCTCAAGAAGGTCGTGCCAGATATACGCCAGCATAAACAAGTAAAAATAAACTTGCCATGAAACCTTGTAAGCATCACGGTCAGATCAACATAGCACCTCCCAATACCTTCCTACGTTGTTACCAGACATGCCCAAATCATGAGTTGCTGCCATGATATTCATACTGACGACTGCATCCCCGCGGCTAGGCGACCTGTATATTAAATTTGTATTGATAGGGCAGCGGCTTATGCTATAAATCATATGTCACAGTGCTTGTGCACTGATTGCAACGGTTAGATGACACCAAAAATATTTTCATAAATAGGAGATCTTTCCCATTCCGGATCGAACAATCTACCAAAGATGCTTATAATCATGATACCTAGTAAGTTTTCACGAAAAAAAATCAAAACCAGCAAATGTAGAAGATCCATTTCACACCCTCCACCACGCCACGTGATCGTCATTAGACTTGGCAACGCTGCAAGTGACAGGTAGGTATCCCCGCTAGTCAAAAAGAAAAACATTACTAGTTTTTATGGTTTTTTGGACTTACGAGACATTATTTGTGAAACATTTCTCATAATTTTTTGTCTATGTCCATAGTAATTGCATTATGCATCAGGGAGATGTAGGGATTGACACGTCTTACACATATTATCTGTGTTTTAGGATGGAGAGGACATAATGTTTTTATTGCTTTGAAGAACTGTATCAACCCATAAATTAATGAATGATTACTATTATGACGTAAAGGAAGATGAGGAATTGGATGGAATGTATTTTATATTCTATTTTCTTGCAAAATACAGACAAATCCACACTAGTCAACAGGTATGTAATGATAACTTTCAGTATATTAAAGTTGGTAAATTCGAGAGTGCCATGCATTAACAAACGTCCAAATCTGCTGCCAAATTTAACAGCTAGCAAATCGACCTATTATTTGCCGCATTCCCATTCGCTGAAGGGGATAACGGATTGTTAAATGTGAACCTATAACATATATCAAAATACATGAAGGTTGTCCGGTTTTTTCTGTACAAAAGCATCATGTTGTTTATAATACAGTCGAATTTTCACGATTTTATTCAATATTTCAATAGAAATCACTAATATTCAGAGACCTTTGACAGCTTCTGTCAAATTGCATTGGTCCATAATATTAATGTTGGTGAAATCGGCCCTTAGTATACTTATCGCCAGAGTTCTCTCAAAACTACAATCGGCTCCTCCACCATTTTTGCAAATCAAGCGAACTTTATCTGCCTATTTCACAGAAACTAATCACCGCGGTTATAGTTTTCCTCATATTGCAGGTGAATGACGAAATTGTGCTGAATGGCATCAATAAAAAGCTACATACCACACTGTTATTTATTTAAGTACAAAATTATTTTCTATTGTCAAATATAATACATTTGTAACAACAAAAGCTAAAACACTCTTGGGACGCACAAATACAACGTAATACTTCATTCTTGGAAACATTCCCCGTTTGATGTTGGTAAGAGGTGTCCGTAGATAGACTCAAACTTCCTGAGTGTGCATATTCGACCACAGTGTGGTATTTTTAGCTTCTTCGGCTTGTCTGCGGAGTAATCCTGATAGTAAATCTGGAAAAGTAAATACCGCGTGAATATTTTGAATACATTCCTGTTACATACCACACAGCAAACTTGAGTAGTATCCGAATACGATGTTGAATCCTATTAAGAATACATTTTGCTGGTATCCGAATACATTTGTGTGTTTGGTATTCGGTATTCGAGTGAATACTTTTTTGGTTCTTGGTATTCTGGACTGTAAATACCGTATCTGAATCCCAACATTCGAAAACCCATTTTGTATCTAAATTCTGGTATTCAAATCATGTATGTATCATACTATGATAAGAATATTGTTTTGATATTATATATACAGGGTGTTTCAGTTTATTGTTGCATAACTTTAAGATTTGATAGAACCTTTAAAATTAATGCATAAAGTCTATATAAACATGGGTCGAAAAATGCATGGCTACCGAAATACAGGGTGTTTAAATTTACTTTCTAAAATAGTTTTTTAGAAGAAAGAACACAAAGAAATCTAATGGATTTAGGTCAGGGGATCGTGGAGGCCAGGCGACTGGTCCTCCACGGCCGATCCATCTTTCTGGATAATTTTCGTCCAGCCAGTTTCTAACTATTCTCGAATAATGAGCTAAACAACCATCAAGCTGGAACCAGGCCAATCGTCTTAAATCTAACATAACATCATCCCACATATTTGCATGTTCAGCCTTTAAAAATTCCAAGAAGGTCGCAGCATTTAACCTTGCAGGCAAAAGGTAGGGTCCAAATAGTCGATTACGGTAGATACCAATCCACACGTCCACACTAAATTCATGCTGAAACTTTCTTTCCCGAACTGCATGCGGATTTTCATGCGACCAAATATGTTGATTAGGAAAATTTACCACTCCACATCTAGTGAAGCATGCCTCATCGGTCCATAAATCGTTACTTAAAAACTCCCTATTATTATCAGTTCTATCAAGAATCCACTGACAAAATGTGATTCTTCGTTCTCCGTCCTCTGGCTGTAGTCCTTGCACAGGTTGCAAATGGTAAGGACGTCTATGGTCATTTCTAAGAACACGGTGAACATGGCTTGCTGAAATTCCCAAGGCACCAGAAACTCTCCTAACACTTGTGGTCGGATCTCTATCAAACTCACGCAGAATCATACGGGTAAATCTGCGCTGACGAACATTTATGTTTTGATCCCTTTGGAGATTGCCAAAACCATTTTCAATTATTTGGCGATGCACTCTTACAAATACTGAACTAGTTGGATGTCGTCTGTTTGGAAATCTTCCTGCGTATTCTCTGGCTGCTTCTGCTGCGTTTCCATTTACAAAGCCATACACAAAATGAATATCCGCTAATTCTTGATTGGAGAATAAAAATGGCATTTTTATAGAGCCTACAAAAAAAAAACAGGTAAAAGGAACTAAATTTCGTGCATTCACAATTGCAAAAAAACGTTTCAGGTTTCAAAAGACAACTAAACTAACTGTCAACTAATTGACGTTTAACCTTATTCTGCTTTCAATTTCAAAAATATTTGCAGGCACAGCCAACTTCTAAAAATTATCGAGATACTGATTTTTTAACGTTATTTTATCATAAATAATTAAAAATCGAAATATCTCAAAAACGGCTAACTATAACGAAAATTCACAAGAGAACTTTTTTATGTTGAAAAGCAAAAAGTTGCACTGAGAAAAATTTTTCGGTAATTTAAATTCACTACAGGTACAGTAGAGAGCGCCCTCTACCGGATACAGTAAAACTATGCCCATGGTTCCTTTGATCGTACCAACAAACCGTTGTATACCAATTTTTACTGTTATGCATCAAATATTGTTCGAAATATTTAAAAAAAACTATTTTAGAAAGTAAATTTAAACACCCTGTATCTCGGAAGCCACGCATTTTTCGACCCATGTTTATATTGACTTTATGCATTAATTTTAAAAGTTCTGTCGAATCTTAAACAATAAACTGAAACACCCTGTACCCAAGTACTTAAATAAAAATCAAGCTTTAAGGGCGAATATGTTTTTCTAAGCTAGTAATATAGCTTTCGATCCTCTGACAAAAGACGGTAAACCATAGAGCGCTGTTTTGTGTCATTTGGTCTCAGTGACCAATTCTTATAAGAGATTGAACTCTTTGCTGTCATAATTCCATGTTTTTTTTAGTTGGAATATTCAAAAAGTATTCATATTTAAATGATTCCACTTTTTTCTTTATATTCAAATCTTGAGTATTCGAATACAATTTAGAATAGAGTATTCAGGATTCGTATTCGAATACCGGATTTTAGTATTCGATCCGAGTCGGCCACATAACAAAAAAACATCGAGTGATGCAGAATGGTTTTCCTAGAACAAAATCCGTTGGACTTATAGATTGCCAAACTCTGTTAAATACACCAGGAATAAAGAAATTTGGGATACTTGCTGGATGTAGCTTAATATCTGGATGGTTGAAGCCGGGAACTTTAATTGAAGGCAGTTATTTTGAACAGTCAGATATCACGATAGACGTGTAGCTTTTGCTAGCAAAAACTGTTACTTTCGAAAATCTTGTCGTAAATTTAGTTCTCCTTGTAAGGACGAGTTATCTCAAAAAACAAAACATTCCAAAGAATAACCACAAGTTTTTAGAGTCACCTTGTCGGCAAAGCCTTATTGTCTCACATATAGCCTTCATGATGGCTCAGCTTAAAATAAATACCGAAAATGTGAATTTGAAGGAATAAAGTAACAACAGCTTGTTTCATACTACAGGGTGCGGCAGAGAGGACGGACGTGATGTTTGACTAGTGAGACCCTAGCGTCATTTTACTAGTTGTCGTTATGGAGCCTTGGACGGTGGAGTACCGCGTTTTCGCCTATGATTGTTTCGTCCGAAATAATGACTCAGTCATCGTCGTACAGCGTGAGTTTCGTCGCCACTTCAATATTCATCGGAATAGAGCTGTTCGGCCACCACATGCCTGATGTGATTTTCCACACTTGACTGTCTCAAATGCTATTTCCTTGTGAACCTGATTCCATCAATAAATTTGTTTTCGAGTAAAAATTAACTATTTTATGATTTTTTTAAAACCGTCCTCCCTCTCTGCCGCACCCTGTATTTAAATCATTAAGCATGCACCATTTTTAAAGCACATTGCTCAAAATAGTGAATGGGCCCCCCTTTTTGAAAATAAATCGGTATCTAGCTAGATACTGAATTATTATGAATCTAGCGAATACGCCACATCGATCATTATGATTATTGGAAACATTGAAAACAAAAGGCATGAAAGCTAACGTAGATATGGAGAGCAAGTGTGATCAAATTGAAAGAAACAATAAAAACATGTTAAACTGCTTGAAAAAGTATTAAGAGCAGCAGTAAAAATCACAAATTATTATGAGTTGGCTGATTCACACATCAAATAATGAGCATAATGAGACAACTAACAGCGTTTTCATTTTCTTTAAAGTTACGCACAGCTTACTTTATGATTTAATTCCTATATGATTAACCGTGACTTCTCTCATATAAAGTAAGAGCTATTTCTATTATAACGTGTGTTGTATCGCTAAAAATCAGCACTAGTAATGAAGTTTGATATATTCTGTTCCACAAATATTAGCAATTCTAACAGAAAGGTATAGTGCAAAAATCGATTATTCTTGAAAACGAGCCTACACGACGTTTGTATGACAAACTAAAAATATTTATTAATTCTTTGCAACCTTTAAGCTATTTCCAGTTTATCTTTATCCGAAGAAGCACAACTTTCAAGAATTCCTAGCTTCCCTTCATCTCTGATAAAACGTTTTTAGTATGTTAGCTTGTATGTGGGGGACAAATATTTGAAGTCAAATTTGAACACATAAACCTTAACCAATTGAGCTGAAAATCTGTATACACGTTTGGTTCTTGTGACAATACAAAATGAATTAATTGCCGCCGCTTTCAGTTCAATATGGCGGATCCTACAAAATGATCTGGTATCAACTGAAGGACTTGACGAGAGAGAAACACAATAAGCAATGTGACGTTATGCTTAATACAATATGGTGTAAAAGCGCAATAAGAAAAGTGACGTCATTCTAAGTCCAGTGAGGCGACCAACCCAAGATGGAGTTTATGACTACAATAGTTACCCCTAGGATATAGGTATCAAATTAGAGGGCTTTATGAGAGAAATATAACAAGCAACCGTGACGTCCAATACGACGGCCACCGTAATATGGCGATTTATAATTTCCATAGTCACCCCTGTACTATGGGTATCAAATGAAAGGGCTGGGTGAGGGAAACATAATAAGCATAGTGATTTCATTCTAAATCCAATATGGCCACCGCCGCTCAATGGCGATTTATATACTAAGTGACATATAAATCCGGCACCCAGTTTAAATCGTTTTATTTTAATAAAAGTTGGTGAATGTATTTATCTTACTGTAAATAACAAGTGAAAAAATTTTCAGCCTTATCAGTTGGACATTCCGGTTTTTATACTTTTTTTTTTAATTCACTAACGCTCTAAAAATGAATATTTCAGCCGCAGTAAAGAATCAACGTTGGCAGATTTTGGTTCTTGACATCCTTTACGATCGATTACGATGCCTAGAGTACGGAGACCTGTACGATTTCGTCAACTTAGTGAGTTTGATAGGGGCCGTATAGTGGGACTTCGGGTAGCTGAATTTTCTTTTCGGGCAATTGCAGTTAGAGCAAAGAAGTGTAGACACTGTGGTTAGGTGTTGTCAGGCATGGCTTCGAGAAGGCCGTACGCAAAGAGCAAGGGGCACTGGACGCCGCCGTAGAATAACAGACCGTGAAGATCGCCGCCTAAGATTATTGGCCTTAAGGGACCGTTTCTCCACTACCAGGTACATTGCAAATGAATGGTTTGCAGAACACGGAAGACCTATTAGCATGCGAAGTGTTTATCGACGAATGAGAAGTTTTGGCTTGTTTTCATACCGGCCACACTGGGTCCTCCCTTTAACTCGAGAACACCGACGTAATCGCCTTGAGTGGTGCAGACAACGGTCACTCTGGGATCAGGAATGGAACAGTATTGTCTTTAGTGACGAGTCTCGATTTTGTTTAGGCATGCACGATGGTCGTGCCAGGGTTAGCAGGCGACGTGGTGAAAGGAGGAATCCACAGTTTTTTGTTGAAAGACATGTTCATCACACTGTTGGAGTTAGGGTTTGGGGTGCTACAGCTTATTGTTCCAGGTCACCTTTAATCTTCGTCAGAGGTAACATGAACGCGCAGCGTTATATCCACGAAGTTCTAGAACCCCATCTTTTACCCTATCTTGACACCCTGGCAGATCCAACTTTCCAACAAGATAATGCCCGACCACATGTTGCAAGAGTCACAATAGACTTCTTTCAACATAACGATGTCACATTGTTACCATGGCCACCATGATCTCCCGACTTATCCCCAATTGAGCACGTGTGGGATATGATGGGTAGGAGATTGCTCAATTTGCAACGTCCTCCTCAGACTCTAGAAGCACTTCGAGAGGAGTTGGTGGTTGCCTGGAATGAGATACCACATGAGGACATTGACCACCTGATCAGAAGCATGCCTAGGCGCGTTGGAGAATGCGTAGCACATCAGGGTGCATCCACACATTATTAAAGGTCATAGGGCTTTAAAGCAGTGCAATCATTTTGAAATTTTTATCATTTACTTATTATGCTTCATTAAGTACTTATACAAAATTTTATTAAAATAAAACCATTTAAACTAGGTGTTCGGATTTATATGTCACTTAGTATAATTTCCATGGTCGATACGAGTATCAAATGAAAATACCTAATGAGAGAAACGATGGGCAAATAACGTTGTCTAAATTCCATACGGCGATTGCCGAAAAATATCGATTTATTCTTATATGATTTATATACCGAAATTTTAAAATAGCTATAAAGTAACGAGTTTTATGAACTCCTATCAATGAAATATATGAAAATTATATAGGAATTACCAAATGAGTTATTCGACATCATAAATAGTTAAAATTAAAAAATAAATGAAACAAGAAAGTAAATTTCAAAAACAAGCTTGTTTTTAAAAATGTATTTTTTATATAACTGATTTTAAATTACCTTGATGATACGTTTTCCGTCGAAGTTGTGAATTTCCATAGATAGGTAGCTGCCATACGGTGGAACGTGAGGGTGAAACAATCCCAAAAATCTCAATATGGCTGCTACGTTTGATTCGTGCGCCGAATATAGAAATATTTTGGTACCCTTGTATTCTTTGCCGTCTGCTTTGGCCTTGGAATCTTCAATCACCTTTTTGATTAGGAATCCTGCAGAGAAACAGGAAACTAAAATTTTGCCTTATTTTGAAGATATAGGGGAAAAATGATTGTCGAAAATAAAATATGAATACCAAAACATTGAAGGCTCCTTGTGATAACAGACACTATCCATAGTGACTACCTCCGGCAAGAGCGCAATATTCTCCTCATGGACAAATCCAAATATGGAAAAAGATGATAATTTTATTTTATTTTGCCCGAAGGTAAACAGACTACATGTACTACATAGCTAACATCGTCGCTATCTAGTCGTCACGTGGTGGTTTGGATTGAGATCTATACAGGGTGGACCATCCATGCGTGGACGGAATATTACTCGTAAACAAATACATTTTGGGAAAATCTATTTGAAGCATACATGATATTTGAGGGGATATTTCTAAAATATTGGCAATTGTACAGGGTGTCCCAATTTTGACCTACATATCAAAGCTGTGACTTTTTAAATGGAATGCCTAAAATTTTATTGCACATTTGGATAAAATAATTCAAACGAAGAAGATTAATATAACATACTATGGGGTTTTGGTAATTAGCTACTGAGATGTAAGGTATTTTGTCCAGAAAAACCGTCCACATCGGCAACCCCTCAATCCGCCATTTTGAAATTTGGAGTGCTGAATTCTGTATAAAAAAAGACTTACACACCTCGGCTTTTATCTTATTTGTTACTTTTCCGAATTTTCATTTTTGCTGATATAGGGAGGTCAAAAACGCGAATAGTACTTTTTCTTAAAAATTTCAAATGCATCACCCTGTATATTTGTACAAGTCTGGATTTTTTATAAGCTTTTTTTTGATACTAGACACATGAGGGTTTTACGGCTATTTTTTCGGTTGTTACCTCGTCTTTTATGGAACGCCTTAATTCCCTAAAATATCGCATCGTCCTTGGAAACAAATAAATTGTTGATTAGTTACAAACTGTCAAAATTAGCTTTGCGAGAGCATTATAATAAAAAAGTGTTTGAAAATGAATTTTTCTGAAGAAGAAATGATGCATAAGGTGTTGGCTTTGGGCGAAGCCCAAAGAAATCATTTCCTTGCATCTCTCATTTATTAGTAACGGTATCCTAATATGCGACATCCAAGACCGGAAACATTTTCGACACTACGAGGACGTTTTGAACCAAGTGGAGCAGTGGAATATAGTAAAACCACCCTGTATGAGCAAAAATGAAAATTTGAAAAAGTAATAAATAAGATAAAAGCTGAGGTGTGTAAGTTTTTTTTTTGATACAAAATTCAGCACTCCAAATTTCAAAATGGCGGATTGAGGGGTTGCCAAAGTGGACGGTTTTTCTAGGTCTCAGTAGATAATTACCAAAACCCCATAGTATATCATATCAATTTTCTTCTTTTGAATTGGTTTATGAAAATATGAAATAGAATTTGACGCATTCCATTTAAAAAATCACAAATTTGATATGTAGGCCAAAATTGGGACAGCCTGTATAATTGCCATAAATAGATTTTCCCAAAATGTATTTGTTTATGAGTAATACTCCGTCGACACATGGATGGGCCACCCTGTATATTGTTATTTTTATCTATTTATTTGTTTACTGTGCTTTATTGATATTTTCTGCGATTGGGTGTATTTGTCTGTCGGAAATAAACTTATTGTTGTTGTAAACGCAGAGTCAACCTACGTCATTTTTCCTTATAAATTCAGTTTATCAGTATAACACATTTACTTTACAAACCTGATGAAAGCCTTTTCAACAAGTCTGTGGATGTGGACGATACGTAGTCCATGATAGCTAGATGTTTGATGTGCGGGTAAACTGATTTAGCCCAGTCTGGCATCAGAAAGCCGTTTTCATGCTGTAATAGAGAAAGTATTGAAAATTGAATCAGTGAACTGAGATATTGTTTCTAATTAGAATCACACTCCTAGTCATTTTCGGTTATTGTCTAAGCAACCCTCAAACCCCTACATAATTTTAACATGGTTCTGACAATATTGCCTAGAATTCACCTATGACGCTTCAGTTATATTCTAATCAGATTGAAACATAAAGTTAAGTGGTGTACTGTTAGAGCCTTGATTTTATTTTGAGTCTGTTGAGTATAAGACCTGAGGAACAACTAAAATCCAGCTCACCTCTTTAGGTATCTAGCAATAACTCACCTCTGTCGTTAGTGTAAAATATAGTTCAGCAAATGATTTACTGTAAAGTCGTTGTCCGGTCTTTTCTTCCAGGAACTTGTGAATATCGGTAAAATTCTCGTAAAGCATCTTCGCATCTGAGGAATTCAGGTACTCGAGGTAGTATTTTTGGAAAACAGGGCAGTTCTTGTGTGGATCACCTAAAACCTGAAAGCGAAAGGGAAGGCACTTAAAAACCATCCTAAACGCTAACTTAGGACGTGTTACTTTTCAAGATCGTTGTTGTAGAATGTCGGAAGGGAATTCCGATGAGCCATCTCAAAGCTTTATGAAAGTATAGTCAAAAATATTTTCTTTTTTAACCAATAAGTAATTCCAGTATCTAAGTTGCAGCCCAACTAACAATTTATATTTCATGGATGTGCTAACAACGTTTGCAGAACTATTTTCGTAAAACAACAATAGCGCTGTAAACGTTCTGACAACGTTTATTGAACGTACAGGATGATTGTTTAAACGTTTTTAAAATTACTATAAAACATAGTATGTCACAATTATAAAATAGTGTGATTGGAAATACAGGGTGCGGCAGAGAGGATGGCCCGTTTTAAAAAAATCATAAAATATCGATAAGTTTTCTTCTGAAATTTGACAAAATAGCACGGGAAAGGACAACGAATTTATTGCTCGAGACACGATGTACCTTTTATGTTCTTTTGGGGCATATTTAAGATGAGCTAGGGCAGGTGTTCCAGACGCGCACACTGTAAAAGGTTAGTCGAAAGAAAGCGCTATAAGTTTTTGAATTTTACGTTAACTACTTGAAAAATTATAAAGGCATCCGAAACATCAACAAAGTAAGTTGCGTAATTGTTCATAGGAGCAGTCACGAGTTTCAGCAATTACATAAGTATGATGCACTCTTTTCCGTGACTATTGAAATCTACATGTACATGGATATTGGGGATATCATTTGTTTACACAATAATGCTGTATCTCGCATTCATAGATGCGTTTGTCAACAAAGCTGATTAATGGTTTCACGGAACTGGAGTTCCTATATTGATAACCCAAATCAAATAAACTCGTGTCCAGAAGCATGACACTACGACATAATGCGCATGTGTCTGAACTTGATAACGCTATGTTTGTTCGGGGACCAGTTTGCACTGCCTCTGGTTCGACCTTAGTGGGAATTTGAAAATAATATTGATCTTTAATAGGAATTTTATATCTTATTTTGTATGTAATATGTAACTAACTTCTAATTACACTGATCAACAGCCAAAAAAATGTCCTAAATAAAATCTACAAAATATTACTATTTTTAATGTGCTAAAACCGGAATGAAACTTATTTTTTCAATATTAGTTCAAGTTTTAGAGATACGGTAATTATATGTGTTCCTGCTGTGACAGTGTTAATATACTGTAATTCACAAGAATGCACGTGCTACATTTTTATATTCGGCAAGGAAAGATGATGTAATCGGCATGATTGTGTTACGTTATACATACGTGTACATTATATTGTTTTATATTAGCCATTTTTTCCTCAGTTGGCTGACAGCGTTCATGCAAGATGCCTCGAAAGTGTGTAAATAATCCAGATCAGTTTTGTTACATGTGTGGTGATGTGACTTTTGCGTCTCAGAGACGGTCCATTACTCCACTAATAACAAAGGCATATCAGCTTTATTTCGGTTGTAAACTAGGTGATCAAGACAAACAGTGGGCACCCCACATCTGCTGTAATACATGTGCTTCAAGTCTGAGGAGCTGGTTAAATGGCAAAAAACGGTCTATGCGCTTTGCTGTCCCAATGGTTTGGAGAGAGCCTACAAATCATATTAATGATTGTTACTTTTGCATGGTACCTTGTGTTGGACAAGCCACAGGTATGTCCAAGAAAAAAAAATCGGTTACTAACTACCCAAACATACCATCTGCGATGAGACCTGTGCCTCACAGTGACGAAAATCCTATTCCAAAACCCCCAGAATCCTACACTTGCGAATCAGAAAACGAATCAGATCATGGCTATCCAGTGATTCGTCAGGAAGAAGATATGCCATCAACGTCAAGAGATCGTGATTTTATACCGAGCACGTCATGTCACCAACCGCACAAAATAACACATTCAGAATTAAATGATCTTGTAAGAGATTTAGAACTTCCAAAATGTAAGGCACAGTTACTTGGATCAAGACTACAGCAGTGGAACTTGTTAGAAGACGATGTTTCGGTATGTGTTTTTCGTAAACGCCACAAAGACTTAGAACCATTTTTCAATATGGAGAATAACTTGGTTTTCTGCAGTAACATTAACGGCTTACTGGCGGCTTTAAACATAAACTATAACCCAGAAGAATGGAGATTGTTTATAGACAGTTCAACATTGAGTTTAAAGGCAGTGTTATTGCATATTCGAAATATTTTACCATCTCTTCCTGTAGGGTATGCAGTTCACATGAAGGAATCATATGACAATATGAAGTACCTATTGACATGCATAAAATACGATGAGCACCAATGGCATATTTGTGGCGATTTGAAAGTTGTTGCACTTTTACTTGGGCTGCAGCTAGGCTACACAAAGTTTTGCTGTCTTTTGTGTGTATGGGACAGTCGGGCAAAGGCACTTCATTACACCAGACAAAATGGCCTGTTCGTCAATTCCTAGAGCCAGGTCAAAAAAATGTACAGCATATGCCATTAGTAGATTCGAAAAAAATTTTATTACCACCACTGCATATCAAGTTGGGCCTAATGAAAAACTTTGTCAAGGCATTAGATAGAGATGGGTCAGCTTTTCAATACCTGCGTCAGAAATTTCTAAGACTAAGTGAGGCAAAGGTTAAAGAAGGTATTTTTGTTGGGCCACAGATTCGAAATATTTTGAAAGATACACAGTTTGAAAACACTTTAACAGGTATTGAAAAAACTGCTTGGAATGATTTCCGTCTGGTGGTCACTAATTTCTTAGGAAATTGAAAAGCTGACAACTATAAAACCCTTGTCAAAAATATGCTGTCATCGTATCAAAAGATGGGCTGTAATATGTCTCTTAAGATACATTTCCTACACTCACACCTGGACTTTTTTCCTGACAATTGCGGAGCCGTAAGTGATGAGCACGGCGAACGTTTTCATCAGGATATTTCAACAATGGAAAAAAGGTACCAGGGAAAGTGGAATCCTTCCATGCTTGCAGACTACTGTTGGACTCTTGGTAGAGATGCTCCAGAAACGATCCGTAAAAGAACAGCAAAAAGACAGCGCATATAGTGATTCTTATAAGTATATGAATCTTGTTACTTTTTTTAATATATCCTTAAAAATAAAAAGTTTTTTTCTAAACCGCAACTAATTTTTTTATTTCATTGTCATTTTTGGATTCAGCGCCCCAAAATTAACAAAGAAGTGCACTTTTCCCACAAGATACAATTAAAAAACTAAAATTTGTTGTCCAGTGTTATCGAATGACATCCAAACAAATATTATGAATGGATTCAATGACTGCAGCAAAGACCGGGATTTTCTAATGTGTAATTTTAATAGAACACTAAAATATACTGAAAAATCTTGATATGCAGCGCGGAACAGCCAATTAGAATAAATTGTTTATTTTGATTATCCTAAAAAGGTCGATTTTTTTCAAATATTACACCTTATTACGTAAAATTGTTATTCGCATGTTTAACACCTCTGCATGGCGAGCACAAACCAAAATACTCCAGGAGTTCTATTTTTGAATCATGAGATTATATTCTTAATACTGAAGCTACTACGGAACCAATTTCACCACGAATTTCATATACAGGGTGGCGCATCGGAAACGAAACAGGCGCCTTTACTGGCAGCTCAGTATTTTTTTTTGAAAAACGCACAGACCCGTCGATTTTGTTTTCAAGGGGGACACAAGTTTGGCAAAAAATCACGTTAGCACGTGCAGCCCCCTATGCGGGGGTGACACCACCAATAAAATCTTAAATGGAAAGGTGGGTCGAGTGATACCTTATTTTAAAGGTCTTTCAATTCCCTTTATATAATGTACTTCAGTTCAGTAGTTTTGAAGATTTATTGATTTAAAGCTTAAATAAAACTAATACATCATCATTAGTCGAGATCAATACATTTGGCAGCAAAGTAATTTAAAAATGAAGAATGAACTGACCCGCTAGGCAAGTAAATGTTGAAAATTCGACCATGACTCTCCATGCAATAATAAAGATTTTGGTCAAAACGTTGCCGCACATTTTGCAATATTTGAGGAGTAATTTGAAGGCCCTCATTCACAATTCTTTGTCGCAGGTCTTCTAATGATGTTGGCTGAGTAGCATAGATTTTGCTTTTTAAATGACCCCACATAAAGAAATCCAAAGGTGATAAATCTGGCGATCTTGGCGGCTATCCAATGGCACCTCTTCCACCAATCCATCGACCTGGAAACGTCTGTTCTAAATATTGTTGAACACGTAATGCGGAATGTGGTAGGGCATCAACCTATTCGCAATGTACCGCCGATCATTCTGATTTTCAATTATAGCTGTTAATGCAGGATCTATGGCGTCTTCCAGTAATTCCAAATATATTTCACCGGTCAAATTTCCAGGTAAGAAATAAGGACCAACTAAATGATTGCCAAATATACCAGCAACAATCCAACTTAATTTTGATCTCTTTTCTTTGGTGTTCGCCACCATATGAGCGCATTTTGCAGCCCACACCTTTTTAAATGGGAAGCAGTAGTTTGTTTCGCAAATTTTAAAACCTCGTTAAATATCTAGTCAACATGGAGGTTATTTCCAGGTTTACTGCAAAGTTTTGGGGTTGAGAGAAAAAAAATCGATTAATTGACGAAATTTTTAACATCGCTTCTTCACACGTTCGTGTGTACCACAAAAATGCTGGCCCGTTCGCTATCCCCTAAATAAATTGGGCTGAGTATTTGGATGCACTGTACATTTTTCTCAATTTGCTTAGTTGATGTCTCAGAGTTCTCAGCAACTGCTTGTGAAATACTATTCTTTTAAATTTCGAGCCTTCTCTAAGAAAATTGGCTTACTTGGCTGCCTTCTTTCCGGAAATTCATCAAGGTACATTACTGCAATATTTTAGTGTTTTTGTAGCACAAAATGTGGCACATCAGCATCTAGAACTTTTCTTCATTACTAAAATGACCGCCTGATGTCTTTGACGATAATAAATCAATATTAACAATACACTACAATACTCGGTGACAGGTATACTAAGTGACATATAAATCCGAACACCCAGTTTAAATGGTTTTATTCTAATAAAACTTTGTATAAGTACTTAATGAAGCATAATAAGTAACTGATAAAAATTTCAAAATGATTGCACTGCTTTAAAGCCCTTTGACCTTTAATAATGTGTGGATGCACCCTGATGTGCTACGCATTCTTCAACGCGCCTACGCATGCTTCTGATCAGGTGGTCAATGTCCTCCTGTGGTATCTCATCATATCCCACACATGCTCAATTGGGGATAAGTCGGGAGATCTTGGTGGCCATGGTAACAATGTGACATCATTATGTTGAAAGAAGTCTATTGTGACTCTTGCAAAATGTGGTCGGGCATTATCTTGTTGGAAAGTTGGATCTGCCAGGGTGTCAAGATAGGGTAAAAGATGGGGTTCTAGAACTTCGTGGATATAACGCTGCGCGTTCATGTTACCTCTGATGAAGATTAAAGGTGACCTGAAACCATAAGCTATATCACCCCAAACCATGACTCCAACAGTGTGATGAACATGTCTTTCAACAAAAAACTGTGGATTCCTCCTTTCACCACGTCGCCTTCTAACCCTGGCACGACCATCGTGCATGCCTAAACAAAATCGACACTCGTCACTAAAGACAATACTGTTCCATTCCTGATACCAGAGTGACCGTTGTCTGCACCACTCAAGGCGATTACGTCGGTGTTCTCGAGTTAAAGGGAGGACCCAGTGTGGCCGGTATGAAAACAAGCCAAAACTTCTCATTCGTCGGTAAACACTTCGCATGCCAATAGGTCTTCCGTGTTCTGCAAACCATTCATTTGCAATGGACCTGGTAGTGGAGAAACGGTCCCTTAAGGCTAATAATCTTAGGCGGCGATCTTCACGGTCTGTTGTTCTACGGCGGTGTCCAGTGCCCCCTGCTCTTTGCGTACGGCCTTCTCGAAGCCATGCCTGACAACACCTAACCACAGTGTCTACACTTCTTTGCACTGCAATTGCCCGAAAAGAAAGTCCAGCTTCGCGAAGTCCCACTATACGGCCCCTATCAAACTCACTAAGTTGACGAAATCGTACAGGTCTCCGTACTATAGGCATGGTAACCGATCGTAAAGGATGTCAAGAACCAAAATCCGCCAACGTTGATTCTTTACTGCGGCTGAAATATTCATTTTTAGAGCGTTAGTGAATTAAAAAAAAGCAGTATAAAAACAGGAATGTCCAACTGATAAGGCTGAAAATTTTTTCACAGTAAGATAAATACATTCACCAACTTTTATTAAAATAAAACCATTTAAACTGGGTGTTCGGATTTATATGTCACTTAGTATATTTACCTTAACGGTTTGTTTGCAAACAAGAAAATAAATATAACGTGCGAAATATTGTTGAATATCGTACAAGAAATGCTATTAAATATAGGGTGAACTTTTTTTCGGACCATATAAGCAGTCTGGCACAAAATCACGTAGTGCCTAAAAAGTGCTGACAGAAAAGTTTCATTAGCTTTTTGATATTCCTTAAATTTAAGTCAGAAATAAATAAAAATTATTTAGCGAAATTATCGTTTTTTTCAAATTTGTGTACGATAATCTTGATATAATGTTGTATGTAAAATAAAAAGTACCTGTCTGAATATTCTTAGTCTGGAATGACTATAAGCAATATTGATATAATTTTAGGTCAGTAAGCACTTTTAACACAAATATCAAGCTAAATAATTCATCAAATGTGGGATGATCAATAACATGAATCCTGCCCTGTATTTGTATCCAAATCATAAAAGCAACTTTTGGATATTTGCGAAATCTGACCTTTTAACGGCAATCAAAATAAAATAACAGCAGATTGCGAATAACAGTAATAACATTCAGGAATTGCCAATAGCCAACCAACTTTTTCGACTGATTAGCACGTGATCATACTTGAACGTCTCTTGCTACAGGGTATGAAAGTCAGGAGTGAGAACTAGATTTTATCAAAATCTAGACTAACATCTTAAGATAAACATTTTGCAGGGTGTGATAATATACTCACTGTGTTCAAAAAAGTTGGTATTAGAAATGATACACATTAACTGAACGCGGGCTAGTTCTTCATCAAAAAAATTAAGTGCTGAGTATTTCCCCCTTACTAACTAGAACAAAATTCTGCATGATGTAGCTTAGTTGCAAGTTTTCTGAACAAACTCTATAAATAATTGTACCGAACTGGTATAACCTTGAATTAACTATTTTTATATGAAGTATATGAAAAACTTACGTAGTCTTCTTCTACTGGCCAATAATTGAAGGGTACAGGTTGCCAGTTGAGACTGTTCTCCCAGACATTTTGTCCTGTGGGTGGAAAAAGAGACGCAAGCACCAATTGCAAGGACATTTTGGTCCTGTTGTAATCAGTGCATCTCGAATCGACACTGTCCAAAGTGAATTCGCCCAGAAACTGCCCATAGCGCTTACGAAGAGCTTTGCCTATCTGGTACTCTTTCCTTTTGCCGGCCTAGGTAGGTAAAATTACGAGAAACTTTATATATCTTTGTCATATGTTACATACGAAGTACGCATTCAAATTCTGAACTAACATTCTTGACAAATGAAGAGCCTAAAGTAATAATGCAACCTAAAGATGACGCACAGAGTTTCGGTACTTCTAGCTTCTGTTTCAGATTATATTGCTCATAAGAATCGCCCATTAATTGAAAAACTTTACACTCTGTGCCTTTTGCAGGTTGTTGAAATCTAATTATGAGGATAGATCTCTATTGCTCCTCGACTGTCATAACATAAATCAGGTTTTGAGACTTTGAATTACAGATTATATACTAAGTGACATATAAATCCGGACACCCAGTTTAAATGGTTTAATTTTAATAAAAGTTGGTGAATGTATTTATCTTACTGTAAATAACAAGTGAAAAAATTTTCAGCCTTATCAGTTAGACATTCCGGTTTTTATATTGCTTTTTTTTAATTCACTAACGCTCTAAAAATGAATATTTCAGCCGCAGTAAAGAATCAACGTTGGCGGATTTTGGTTCTTGACATCCTTTACGATCGGTTACGATGCCTAGAGTATGGAGACCTGTACGATTTCGTCAACTTAGTGAGTTTGATAGGGGCCGTATAGTGGGACTTCGGGAAGCTGGACTTTCTTTTCGGGCAATTGCAGTTAGAGTGCAAAGAAGTGTAGACACTGTGGTTAGGTGTTGTCAGGCATGGCATCGAGAAGGCCGTACGCAAAGAGCAAGGGGCACTGGACGCCGCCGTAGATCCACAGACCGTGAAGATCGCCGCCTCAGATTATTGTCCTTAAGGGACCGTTTCTCCAGTACCAGGTCCATTACAAATGAATGGTTTGCAGAACACGGAAGACCTATTGGCATGCGAAGTGTTTACCGACGAATGAGAAGTTTTGGCTTGTTTTCATACCGGCCACACTGGGTCCTCGCTTTAACTCGAGAACACCGACGTAATCGCCTTGAGTGGTGCAGACAACGGTCACTCTGGGGTCAGGAATGGAACAGTATTATCTTTAGTGACGAATCTCGATTTTGTTTAGGCATGCACGATGGTCGTGCCAGGGTCAGAAGGCTACGTAGTGAAAGGAGGAATCCACAGTTTTTTGTTGAAAGACATGTTTATCACACTGTTTGGGGTGCTATAGCTTATGGTTCCAGGTCACCTTTAATCTTTATCAGAGGTAACATGAACGCGCAGCGTTATATCCACGAAGTTCTAGAACCCCATCTTTTATCCTATCTTGACACCCTGGCAGATCCAACTTTCCAACAAGATAATGCCCGACCACATGTTGCAAGAGTCACAATAGACTTCTTTCAACATAATGATGTCACATTGTTACCATGGCCACCAAGATCTCCCGACTTATCCCCAATTGAGCACGTGTTTGATATGATGGGTAGGAGATTGCTAAATTTGCAATGTCCTCCTCAGACTCTAGAAGCACTTCGAGAGGAGTTGGTGGTTGCCTGGAATGAGATACCACAGGAGGACATTGACCACCTGATCAGAAGCATGCCTAGGCGCGTTGGAGGATGCGTAGCACTTCAGGGTGCATCCACACATTATTAAAGGTCAAAGGGCTTTAAAGCAGTGCAATCAGTTTGAAATTTTTATCATTTACTTATTATGCTTCATTAAGTACTTATACAAAATTTTAGTAAAATAAAACCATTTAAACTGGGTGTTCGGATTTATATGTCACTTAGCATATATTTCCTGGACCAGTCACTATTTCCAAAACTAAAAGAACAATTAATAATGAAAAAAATATTTCAACTAGTAGTTCAGTATTCGTACAAAAAAGAATTGATAATGATACAGATTAAGGAGAAAATGGAAAAAAATAAATTATATGTAGCTTTATTGCAAGGGGGTCAAGATGTAACCCATCCTTTTTTGCACAAAAATAACATTTATCTTGCGGAATGGTTTGCGATCCATATCGACAAGGTAAACTAGTGTATTTTGCTAAAAAATACCTTTTGAACTAGTAGTGAAGGCCGGAAAACAGGTGTTTTGGGATACAGTATTAGAAATTCTCAAAAATTACTTGACCAATCTACTCCAATTTTGTTGTGGTTATTTAGATGTATGAATCTTACGATATTTGAAGAATTTCAAATATCTAAAAATCTTGTATGACGAGTTTTTTGCCAACACTTTCGATTGAATTCCAAAAAACACCTTTTTTTCATTCTCCAATAATGAAAAGTTTTTCCACAAAGATTGGTGTACCGATTTCATGCGTCCATGTTTTGAATACCCAGATTTTACAATTATTTCGCAAACCAGGATTATTTTCGTCTAATATGATTAGACTATAAAGTTTATGTAACGATTGCTTACATTCGTCAACTGTCCATGTCCTACAGGATAATACGTCTCGTTAATGTAGGGGTCATTCTTATAAATGACGCTTCGGTCTGGAGTTCTGTCACCATGCCTGAATACCTGTGAAAAGTGCCATTATAATAATTCATAATTCACATTACAGTAGCAGTAAGAGCAGTTTGTTGAAGACATTTATAACTCCAGGGGCATGCTTCCGATTGAATTTCGATCCCTGAAATTAATTTTGATGTCACCTTGACGACATACCTATGATTCGCTATGATGACTTCGACACAAAAAATCAGTCACAATCAGGTGTAACCATTATCACAACGACATAGAAATTAATTTCATGAATTAGAATCAGGCCGCAGGTGAGCCGTCTAGCTTTTGGTGACTACTTCAAACTGGTTCAGTTTATATGACAATCTCATATTTATGTAGTGCATAATTGTATACCACAAAAAGGTCCCCCCATTTATTTCTCGGAAAGCTGAAATTCGGGATAATGGAATTGACGCATCAATACTATGTTTAAGCGTAAAAGTAAAGTGAAAAGTGAAGTGAATTATTGTTCAAATATAATGAGGGATTGTGTCGTACCTAATTTTGAAGCACTTACAATTGTCCTAGAATATAAAATCACTTTCCTTCAAACTTGGATCTGTCAGGCTGTTAAAGGGGAGCGTTTTTGTGCAAGGAGTTGCCTATAACTCAACAACCAACCGTCAAAGCGCTATAGTACGAGCCCCTTCCCACTTCAGTTAGCCCAACTATTGAAATCTTAGTTTTTTTCTTATCAAACACAAATAATAAAAATGTAGCAGGGTGTTATAGGTTTAAAATATTAACAATGAATATTTTGATAATATATAGTAGAAAACACCAACTTTATCACTCTCTAATCAAATTTGCAGCACAAAAATAACACATGTTGCAATTACAGCATATCAACCTATTCTCATTCCAAAGCAAAACAAGTCTATAACGCCAAGGTGGCTGTGAAAAATAAAAGCCATGGCAATTGTTTTTATTAATCACAGCTGTCAGAATACGTTTAAAATAGTTTTGGGTAGCTAACGTTTCCAAAATGGTTAGAGGAAAGGTTATTAGTGAGAAAATCCGGTTGCTGATAATTAAATTTTTTAATTCTGGGAAATCAAACTCAAAAATTGCAACTTTGTTAGACTTATCGCGGTACAGTGCGAGAAATATTGTTAGAAGATATAACGTAACTGGTTCAGTTAATATTAAGCCACGATATGTGAAAAAAAGTAATATCACAGATGCCGACCGAAGAGCATTAAGAAGAATAATCGTGAAAAACAAGCGTGCCAATTATTTACAATTAAGTGCTCTGTGGAGTGGCGCTGTTGGAAGGAGAATTTCGAGGTTCACAACTCATAGAGAGGCCCACAAACTGGGATTTAGCACTTGCAAGGTAAGTTTTCTTATAAAAAAGTGAAGTAAAAACCCTAAAGTTGCACAACAATGCAATTCTTCTTCTGCTGCTTACATCGACTTGCTACGCAACTCTAGCATATCTCAACTTGTCGATCGTCCAACGAGATTCAGCGAAGGACAGACGCCTAGGGCTCTGGATTTGATATTCGTTAACGACGCCGACTTTGTTTCTAATTTAGATTATTTGCCACCTTTTGGCAAGTCTGACCACTGTTCACTTTTATCCTCTCTCCAGTTCAATATAAATAGTCGTTCTGCAACCGATAAGTTTAAAACCATCAAAATTATAAACCACGATGCTCTTAACCAAGCCCTGTCTGAAGTCAACTGGCCTGCTTTGCTTAACAACCGTAGCACCCAAGATATGTGGGACACTTTCGCTCAACGAGTCCTAAGCGAAACGGCTGACAATACCGTTGAAAAGAAGGTATACTGTGACCCCTCAAAGCCCTGGATCAACTCTAACATATCGAGGATGCTTCGTCACAAGAGATCTTTGTGGCAACGGTTTAGGAGGAGTGGCCATTCACAAGATTACGTATCTCATCGATCATTTTCTAACTTCCTATCTAGAACGTTACATAATGCCAAACATGCTTATGAACGAAAACTCGTTACCTCCACAAAAAAGAAGAAGCTGTTTCGGTATCTAAGAACAAACCTGAATTCCAAAGTTTCATCACCTCAGATCCGCGACGCTGACGCTCATCTCCACATGGATGCCACCGAATCTGCCAACTTACTGGCAGAGTCCTTTAGTGATGACTTCGTCGATGAGCCTAATGGAGACCTTCTACCGACCACTATCTGCCATAGGTATCCCAACAGCCTTTGCGAAGTTGAGTTCCTGCCTGAAGATGTATTAATGCACCTGCGAAATCTGAAGACCTCTTCCTCCCCTGGTAAAAATGGGATGACGGCTGCTGTATTTAAAAACTGCGCTTCAGCACTGACCCTACCATTAAGCTTGATATTCACATCGTCTTTTAGATCTCATACCCTACCCTCATGCTGGCTTAGTGCTTATGTTACCCCTGTATTCAAAAAGGGCGACAAATCCTCCGCTAAAAATTATCGACCAATAAGTCTCGTTCCTATCGCCGCCAAAATAGCTGAAAGAATCATATTAGATAAGCTCCTGTCATTTGCTCTCGAAAATGACCTTATCCCTAAGAATCAGCATGGATTTCTCCCTGGTCGATCAATAATGACCAACCTTCTCCACTCTCTCAACGATTGGACTGTATCTGGACACAAAGACTCCTGTTGATATAATCTACTTAGATTTTTCTAGGGCTTTCGATCGCGTACCACATAGAAGGCTTCTGTTTAAGTTGGAATGTATGGGAATAAGAGGCGAGTTGTTACTGTGGATTAAGGCTTTTCTCACCGGGAGGACTTTCTCTGTGCGCGTCAGTGATAGCCAGTCTCACCTTCATCATGTAGCAAGTGGAGTTCCTCAAGGCTCTGTCTTGGGGCCAGTGCTGTTCCTTCTGTATACAAGTGACCTGGCCGCATTGATTTCCTCCACATGTTCAGCTTATGCCGACAACACCAAGATTTACAATACTGTCGTAAATTCTGCTATGCTTCAACGAGATCTTGATATTGTTTGTCAATGGTCAGTCAGTTGGCTTTTACCCTTAAATCTAACTAAGTGTTGTGTCCTTCACCTCGGGAAGACAAATCCGCGATTTACATACAAGATCTCTGACCACAACATCGAAGCAGTTTCCAGCCACACTGATCTGGGCGTTGTAGTCAACGATCGTCTTTCCTGGTCAGAGCATATTCACCACGTTACATCAAAGGCCAAGAAACTTCTATACATGCTGGAGAGGTCTTTCAAAGGATCCGATGTCAACACTTGCGCCTACATTTACAAGGCATCCGTGAGGCCAATTCTTGAATTCGCTGGCCCGGTATGGGACACTGTGCTTCTGCGCGATAGAAATCTCGACGAATCAGTACAGCGTCGTTTCAGCAGCGGACACAGCTTCAAACTGCATAAGGAGCCATTTAAAACAACAGTCCGACAGTGGTTTCTTCCCAACCGCATATCCAACACCTGGAATGTTTACCTGAGTGTGGTTGGTGCTACTTCAGTTAATAGCTTCAAAGTGCAGTATGATAGCTGGAGGAGTGTACAAACTTTATAGCTATGAACTGTCTTTTTTTATTTTTTTCTATTTGATGTATTTGTGTTACGCGTCCGTACACTATATTTACTGCATGAGCTTATAGTACTGTGTACTCTGCTCATCTCAATTATCATAATAATAATAATAATAATAACTTGTTTATAGACCAAAGAAAGCCACTATTAACTCCACTGCAAAAGGATCTGGGTCTTGAATTGAGTGAGGTCATGTCGAGAAAGTACTTCTTAGCCCTTAACAAATAGCCTAGCTTTTTCCCAGCACCTGTCGCTATTCACGAGATGTGTTCGTGCCAGATCCTCGGTGATGGAAATTCTCATAAGAGGGCAGTGTGCCACAGCTGATCGAACGTTTTTGTGATATGGAAAGGAACGTACATGAGCCTCGCGCTTACTGCACAATTGCGTGACGTAAGCTAGGAGGACCTTATGAAGCTAAGCTAAGAAGCTAAGATAGTCCAGAAGCAACCTAGTAATACTTACTTACTTGCAACTTATGTAAGAAGTAACATGTTTTGAAAACATCTAATACCACAATTATTCGCAAACACTCGTATTTTTGAAAAATTACGTTAAAAATAGGATTTTTATAACAAATCTGTGAAAAGATTGACTTACGTCAAGTGCACTTTGACGCATGCTACAGACTATGAGAATTAACAAATACTTGACTGGTACCTAGTAGAATAATAATAATAATAATAATATTTATTCACTCAATGTACAAAGATAACAAACAATATGAGTAAATAAATATAAAATCAAAACAGGCCCAATAGAAGGCATCGCCTGTACATAGACCAATAAATTTAAGTTGAAACTGTAGAATGCAAATGACAAAAAAGGACAAAAATTAGCTACAGTAGATTATGTATTTAGTTGATGTTCGTATTTATGAGTTTATGAATTTCAGTCCTAGATATAGAATGTAGCAATTTTTTTAAATTTCTTTTGAAACAATTTCCGAAACGTAAATCTTTTAAGTCTTTAGGTATAATTTCATAAAATTTAGGCGCTAAATAGAGATATGATCGCTGCATTATAGATTTATGCGGTTGAGGAACTACTGTGCCACGAATTTTGTACCTGGTATAATGATTGTTTAATTTTTTGGTCGGTGTTTACAAATTTATGGTAGCAAGTGATACTGTGTAAGAAATAAAGCTGTCTTATATCATACATTCGAACATCAGCGTATAATTTTTCAGTGGGATAAAGTTTCGGTTTTTTAAATATCATTTTTAGAATACTTTTTTGAAAAACATCTAAATTATGGATATGTGAGGAACATGCAGCTCCCCATGCTAATATACCATATGTGAGATGAGGTTCAATCAGTGCATGGTATAATGTTCGAAGATATTTTTCTGTCAATACATTCCCCAGGTATTTAATTTTGTAGGATACAAATCTAACTTTCTTTAAAATATAATTGACATGGATGTCCCATCGTAAGTGAGGATCCAAGACCACTCCAAGGTATTTTATGTTGGGCACTCTATTAATTTGCATTTTTTGATCATTAATATTGAAGGAGAAATTTGTGTAATTTGGCAGATGTCTAGCATAAGATCCAAATGGTAAAAAATGTGTTTTAGAGTAGTTAATGCTTAATTTTCTACTGTTAAACCACCGAATAATTTTGATAAAATCATTTTCAATTACATTTTTCAGATCAGACCAGTCAGTGCCTTCATATAATATTGCAGTATCATCTGCAACACTAGTTATTTTGCGAACACAATTAATTTGGAAAATATCATTTAAATATATATTGAATAACAGCGGACCTAAGACAGTTCCTTGTAGGACACCACACTTAATATACATTTCTTTACTAAATGATCCTGATATCTGCACAGATTGTGGGCGATTTGAAAAATAACTTTCGATAAGTGAGTACGCGTTTCCTCTGAAACCAATTATCTCCAATGCTTCTAATAATAATTTGTGATTAACTGTGTCGAAAGCTTTCTTTAAATCAACAAAAATGCAGATTGAAGGGATTCTGTTATCAATATTTTGATGTATTTGATTTTCAATTTTAGTTATTGCATCCGATGTAGCCTTCCCTTCTGTAAATCCATATTGATTTTCACTTAAAATTTTGAATTTTGTGAGGTATCGAATCATTCTAGTAGATAAAACTTTTTCAAAAACCTTTGCTACACTGGATATTATTGATATTGGTCTATAGTTGTTAACATCTGTTTTTGTTCCTGATTTATGTATCGGTATTATATTACCTTTTTTTAAAATTGAGGGATATATGCCAGATTCAAAGCATTTGTTGATTAGGTAAGTGAGTGGTTCTGTTATGTCCTCGGCTATAATTTTCAAATGAATTCGTTGAAAGGAAAAATCATATTTTTGATTAAAATACGGAGCTTTCTAGAAATATTTCTGTTTGTCCACCATTACATATGGTGTGAGCAACAATGCATTAGGGCAAGTCCAGACCTGGCGAACTAAATGAACTAAATGTTTCTATGGTCATAGAGCTGTAAGAATTCCATTGGATTATGCGATAAGTTACGTAAGAAAAACCGATTTTCAGTGCTGTCCTGTACGGGTGTGTATCTCCTAAGCAAGCGGTATTTAAAATCGCCAAAAAACAAAATAACCGTAGTAAATCCAAATAATTATCAGCTGAATTGTCGGCCGTGTTTCGAACACGTGTAGCGATAATGTTTCACCTTGCGTTAATTGGTATCTGAAAACCTGTACTTACTACATGCACCAGTTCCAAGGTATCTGAGACCTGCCGCTTTCTAATCACTCTGCAACGGCAACATCCCAGAAGAACTATACCAGAAACTAGGATGAGACTAAGCAGATGCTTGGTCATTGTGAGTTAAACAACTGAAGACGTCCAACGATGTTTTGTTCATTTATTAAAATGCCTTATCAATGGTTAGGTTTCTAAGTTCAGCAGCGGTCATTTTGTGAAAGATAATTATATATCGATTACGATAGCCTAGTTATATTTGCTAGATTCCTCAATAATCGTAGAGACTTTGGAAGCAAAACCGGCGATTCATAACATGTGTGCTTTGATCAAGACCAGCGTTGTCTTCTACGTTCTTTTTTCTTCTCTATATGAACACAGAATCATCTAAAAGCTGTGGAATATCAACGATACACTTTAAAAAGATGTGTTTGCAATATTGCACACCAAAATTAAACGTAGCAAGTTGATGCTATGTAGTAATTTGATTTGATCAGATTTTGAACTGCTATTGCAGGAGCACTGCCGAATTGTCAAGGTGAATGTACCGAATCTTTTTAATTTGAATGTTTGTGTTTGCCGTTAACAATAATGCATGTCGTCTAATAGTGGCCACAAAAAACTCCTCAACATGTCTCTATAGCGTTTCCCGTTTACCGTCACGCTGTTACCACTTTCATCTTGAAAAAAGTAGGGACCGATAATCCCACCACTCAAAAGGCCACACCAAACAGTTGAGCATCCCACAAACCGGCGCGAAATGTTCGCTTTGGCTGCGAAAATTTCGCGGCGATGAATTCGCGATCAGATTAAAACGCGGCGGTTTACGGACAGGCTCAGACTTGTGCGAAGCGAATGCGATTGTTCCAGCGTTTTTATCGCGGCGTATTTCAGTTCGCCTTTGATCGCGTTTTTGACGCCGTTCTTCAAAAATTCGCAATGGCAAAAACGGAATTATTGATAGAAATAGTGAAAAAGTATCCTTGTTTGTATGATTTGTCGAACGATGAATACAGGAATGTGAGAAAGAAAGACAAGATTTGGATGGAAATAGGAAAAGAATTAAATACAAATGGTATGTACCTAATATTTTTTATTAACTTGTTAAATAATTTACAGTCTACACAAATGTGAAAACAATCATTCTATATATTGGGCATAGGCATATCAGAATTAAAATCATTTACGAATTTGTCACGAGTAGAAAATGCTAGCCTTGTTGCCCGCCGAGGATCATTTGCTATATCAGTAAAAGCTCCAAGCACGGGTTCTGGTGATCTAAGAATTGAGAATATTTGTCATCGCCACTTTGCCGTACGTACAATTAGAATAGTAGTATCTACTTTAGTTTCTAATGGCCTGTAAAATATTCGCCATTTTTGAGACAAAATACCAAACGCATTTTCCACGACCCTTCTAGCTCGACAAAGTCTTACATTGTATTTCTCTTTTCTGACGTCTGTTAAAGTCTGCTTATAAGGAAATGGTCTCATAAGGTATGGTTTTGAAGCAAATGCTTCATCACCAATTAAGACGTACGAGCAGATTTCATTTTGCCCAGGGAGAAATCTAGGTGCAGGGACACTCATTAAATTTTGTTCAAATCGTTTTCCCATGTTTGAGGTTTCGAAAATACCCCCATCACTATTTTTTCCGAAACCACCAATATCAACACATATAAATTTATAGTCCGGGCCAACAATGGCCATAAGTACTATTGAATATTTATGTGAATAGCACCAGTAATTGGAGCCACTGTTGTTAGGTCTCTTGATTGTTACATGTTTACCGTCCACGCTGCCAATGCAATTGGGAAATCCCCATCTATTTTCAAATTCTTCAGCACATTTTTTCCATATATTCTTTGTTGGTTCTGGTAAATATATATGTTCCATATGTCTGGATATCGCTTCACAGACTTCGGTTACGATTGCACTCACTGTTGTAAAGCCAACTCGAAAGCTATGCCCAATGGTATAGAAGGTGTCACCAGTGGCAAGGAATCTATAAAAAAAATCGTTTTTAGGTGATGAAGTAAAAAAAAGGTGGAAGAATATCAGAGACACATTTGCAAAATATATAAAATCTACCAAACCAAAGACCGGCCAAGCAGTGGGCAACATAAAGAAATGGCAGTGGGCTGACTACATGGAATTTTTCCGTCCTTTTTTGGCATTTGCCAAAACGTCGTCTAATGTGAAAGATATTGACGTCACACATTATGAGACTGCGGAATTTAACTCAAATATATATCAGGAAAGGGCTGGAAATGTAGAAACCGAAAATTTGGAAGACCGCGGCCATGGAGAAGATGAAAATGCTAATGTAGATGCAGAAGATGCACAGAACGCCATGGCAACACAGACAGCACCACCTTCTTCATTGAACACTACAGCAGTGACTACTCCAGGGCACACCTTTCCGCAGACTGTAACTACACCAAAATATAAAACGAGCAGAAAACGCTATGAACCACCATCTTCGTCTGTACAACAGCTCATTAATTATTTTGAAGGTAAAAAACCTAAAAAAGAGAACGAGACCATTGATTCACTTTTCTTGGCACATGCACAGACTGTGAAAACACTTCCCTTAAAGCGTCAAGCCCGAATAAAACTAAAAATAGCCGAATTAATGGCGCACGAAGAATTTGAACATATTGAAGAAATGTCTTCAGCGTCTACTCAGAATTCTGCAAGTATGTATGATAGTAGTATGTCGTCCTTCCCAAGCGGCACTGGGTTTACTCCAATAATATACCCAACAGAGGAGGCAAATTCTGCCTCGAATTATTTAGCAACATTTAATCCTAGTGGCAACATGTAGTCCAATTATTACAGAAAAATATTTATTTCACGATCCCTGAAGTTTTCGTATTCGATAAGCCTACTAATTTTAATGCATATAATGTTTTTACCTGAGTGTAATAGCAAGTCGTTCTTCTGGCGAAATAGCTTCACGATAATTTGTGTCAGATTTTCGTATTTCATCTTTCACCAAGTTCAATATTTCATCGAAACACTCTGGAGTCATTCTAAAATATACGTAAAAGCGCTGTTCATCCAGCCGAAGTTGTGGCATCAAGGTATGGTATTCCCCAAATTTATTTCGTTCCAAGTTAATATCATGTACCCACTTCCTTCGTTTCCTAAACAAAATTGAAAATTTTTGTTTTATGTACTTCGTTAAACTTAATACATACCCAACTATCAAATGGCGTTAAATAAACATAACTTACCGTGCATTTTGTTCCTCTTCTAAAGCAAGAAATAGAAGTGCCTCCTCTTCTTCTGAAGACGAACTCATTGCAAAAGGCAAAAATAAAATGTACGCAACCTGTCGAAACCTTCACGTTCGCGGAGTGAATAAGACGCTTTGGTATGAATAAACAGGCGAAACAGAGTGCGAATTTCGCTCTGAATGTCGTTGCGAATTCTTCGCCGCGATTATTTCGCGCCGGTTTGTGGGATGCTTAACTCTTTTTGGATGCATTCGTTTTTCTATGACGACATGTGGATTTTCGGAGCCCCAAATCCTACAGTCCCGCTTGTTAACGTAACCTCACAGATGGAAATGGAATGGAAAAGATTCATTCATTCCGACCAAGTAGTCTTCTCAATTTTCGCAAAGCATCTGCAACACAGCACTCACTTTGAAAATAGTTTTTCAATATTTCCCACCTTTGTTCAAGATTAAAACGAACCATTGCTCAAGGTGGAAGTTTGACACAATATATGTCAATATGTTGAGCATGGAAGTGTCACCAACTTAAAAAAAAACAACTGATTGCCCACCCTTTATAATAATAGCATCGCTAAATATTACCAGCACCGTCTTAATCGCTTCGTACTAGTGTTTGGTTTACATTGTTGTAGAAGGAGCAATAGGTTGATTTTACATTGCAAAAATGAAATCTAATAAGAGTACAGGTATCAGTGATGATCGATGACATTTTTATACGATTTATTGAAAAAATAATTAAAAACGGACACTGTGCAAGATTATGATAAAGGCATTCTTATTGTACTTTAGTAAACACATAAAGGCGATAATTCCACCCTTTTTGTCTTAAAAATAAAGTTTAAAGTGTTTCATGGTTTTTTGACGATGCAAAGCTATTTCGTCCTTGATGAATTATTCTACAATATCGAAACTGTAATCGTACTTTTCGAAAAAAGCACTTTGTATCATTACAGTACTTCGCCTTTAGGCGGGGAATTTGAAGTAGGACAAGTAAAAAGTAGATAACCATGGTATTCCCACATATTATCAACCCAACTTAAAAATTCTTATTCCGCATTTTGCTGGATCTCTGCTATCAATGGGCAATGGGCGCAGCTATATATGCCAAAAATTATTAAATTTGGATAAAAATACGTAGGCGTTTCCCTTTCTTGTCACTCAGTACATTATTGAACGAATTTTTCACAGCATCCAGCTTCAAGTTTCTTAGCTGCACATCAAGATGGACAGAAACTTGTAAAACGTAAGATAATATACTAAGTGACATGTAAATCCGAACACCCAGTTTAAATGGTTTTATTTTAATAAAAGTTGGTGAATGTATTTATCTTACTGTAAATAACAAGAGAAAAAATTTTCAGCCTTATCAGTTGGACATTCCGGTTTTTATACTGCTTTTTTTTAATTCACTAACGCTCTAAAAAGGAATATTTCAGCCGCAGTAAAGAATCAACGTTGGCGGATTTTGGTTCTTGACATCCTTTACGATCGGTTACGATGCCTAGAGTACGGAGACCTGTACGATTTCGTCAACTTAGTGAGTTTGATAGGGGCCGTATAGTGGGACTTCGGGAAGCTGGACTTTCTTTTCGGGCAATTGCAGTTAGAGTGCAAAGAAGTGTAGACACTGTGGTTAGGTGTTGTCAGGCATGGCTTCGAGAAGGCCGTACGCAAAGAGCAAGGGGCAGTGGACGCCGCCGTAGAACAACAGACCGTGAAGATCGCCGCCTGAGATTATTGGCCTTAAGGGACCGTTTCTTCACTACCAGGTCCATTGCAAATGAATGGTTTGCAGAACACGGAAGACCTATTGGCATGCGAAGTGTTTACCGACGAATGAGAAGTTTTGGCTTGTTTTCATACCGGCCACACTGGGTCCTCCCTTTAACTCGAGAACACCGACGTAATCGCCTTGAGTGGTGCAAACAACGGTCAATCTGGGATCAGGAATGGAACAGTATTGTCTTTAGTGACGAGTCTCGATTTTGTTTAGGCATGCACGATGGTCGTGCCAGGGTTAGAAGGCGACGTGGTGAAAGGAGGAATCCACAGTTTTTTGTTGAAAGACATGTTCATCGAACTGTTGGAGTTATGGTTTGGGGTGCTATAGCTTATGGTTCCAGGTCACCTTTAATCTTCATCAAAGGTAACATGAACGTGCAGCGTTATATCCACGAAGTTCTAGAACCCCATCTTTTACCCTATCTTGACACCCTGGCAGATCCAACTTTCCAACAAGATAATGCCCGACCACATGTTGCAAGAGTCAAAATAGACTTCTTTCAACATAATGATGTCACATTGTTACCATGGCCACCAAGATCTCCCGACTTATCCCCAATTGAGCACGTGTGGGATATGATGGGTAGGAGATTGCTCAATTTGCAACGTCCTTCTCAGACTCTAGAAGCACTTCGAGAGGAGTTGGTGGTTGCCTGGAATGAGATACCACAGGAGGACTTTGACCACCTGATCAGAAGCATGCCTAGGCGCGTTGGAGAATGCGTCGCACATCATAGTGCATCCACACATTATTAAAGGTCAAAGGGCCTTAAAGCAGTGCAATCATTTTGAAATTTTTATCATTTACTTATTATGCTTCATTAAGTACTTATACAAAATTTTATTAAAATAAAACCATTTAAACTGAGTGTTCGGATTTATATGTCACTTAGTATATCTTACTTATGAGTTTCCTTCAAAATACACTCTAACGCCCCAGCAACATCATCGCATTGGATTATACAGCTTGCGGCAACATTCCTTCCTTTTCTAAAAAGTTAATAAAACCCATTCAGAACATTTTTATTTGTTTTTCTTATAATGCAGGCACATGCTTAAAGTTGTGTTTTTTACGGTTTTGAAGACCGAAACAGAAAGTTGGTCTACCATTCTTCATACACTGAGGAAACCGATTTTTTCATGACTCTTGTCAGCAGAGCGGGCATGATGTTCGCAATTTATTCCTGAATGTTGGTATTCAAACCTTAAAGGGTCCTTGGACCTCTGACATAAACACGGGATGTCAAAAAACCCCATTGAAACAAGTCCCAGGGGTCCAAATCTGGAGAGCGAGCCGGCCACTCCAAATCGCCCTGAGCGAGATGAGGCTCTCTGAGAAGTGTTCCCTCAAAATAGCCATCGATGCAAAATCCGGTAACATGCTTACATACAGGTCTAAATTCACTGAGACTGCGACTTCATTTTCCTTAAAGAACCAGGGACAAATAATTCCAGCTGAGGGAATTGCACGCTACACTGTGATTTTAGGTGAATGCAAAGGCCGTTGATGCAATTCTTGAGGATCGGTGTCAGTAAAGTAGGGCATGTTTTGTTTATTGACGGATCCTCACAAATGAAAATGGGCTTCACCATTAAAAAGAACAATAGCGACCTCAAGAATGACTTCAACTATACTACAACTATTTAAAACTGTAATGACTCATACGCGTGATCAACACGTGATCAGAGCTCGATCCCGGCTTCCTTCCAGTACAGCCGTATAGCGTACGACATATGTCGTTTCTGTGGCTTTGCGGTGGTCAACAGCACAGACAGAGATGGAAATAATGGCTGATTGTTCTCCGCCAGTAGAACCAATGAAATCAAAGACGCGCCTCGACCGGCAGACTCATAAGCGTCGGCAACGCATTGGAACGTGTTTCGTTGAGCGATCGCATATTGTGTGTTTTTATAAGAAGTGTTGTGGTTTCTGTGGTTACTGTTTCGGTTATACTTAACCATGGAGAGTACAAATGGCACGAGTGGAAGTACTGAAAGCCAGGGAACAAGTAGACGGCTTCGTAAAGCACTGAAGAGGGACGCGAAAGAAATCGTGCTCAACGTGTTCAATTATCTGAACAGAACTATGTCGCAGGGAGATGCACTCGCGCGTTGTGAAAGTATGACAGACATTCCAGAGTGGACCATTCGCAGTGTGGTGCATGAAAAGAAGAAAACTGGAGCTACTACTGATCCAAAGTTTAATTTGAAGGGACGAAAGGCCGTTAAATTGGATGACGATAGCAAAATGGCGTTAAGGCGAACCGTACATTCATTCTTCTTTAGGAATGAGATACCAACCCTGAAGGCTGTACATGCAGCGATCAAGGAAAATGAAATTATACCCCAAATGAGCGTCGAGGTAATGAGGAAATCCCTGCACGAAATTAATTTTCGTTACGAAACGCGTAATCGGAAGTCAGTATTGATAGAGAGACCTGAAATAGTCGCCTGGCATCGAAAATACCTACGCGAAATGTTGAATATAGGCGACAAAGCAGAAAAATCTATTAATTGGACGAGACATGGGTAAATGCAGGTCACACAGTTAAAAAAACCGGGATAGACAAAAACGTAGTGAGTAACCGACAAGCAAGCATTGAAGGTTTGTCAACAGGTCTTCGTGGACCGTCAGGGAAAGGTCAAAGGTTGATCGTAACTCATATTGGTAGCGATAGTGGCTTTTTAGAAGAGTGTGACTTGATTTTCGTCTCTAAGAAAGGAGGTGATTACCATGACGAAATGAATGCCAACTGCTTCGAGAGCTGGTTTCAAGGGGTGCTTCAGCGAGTTGAGCCCAACTCTGTGATCGTCATGGATAATGCTTCCTACCATAGTCGTCGAGCCGAACGTGTACCGACTATGGGATCTCGAAAAAGTGACATGCAGCAATCGTTGCGCGAAAAAGGAATCCCGTTTGACGATTCATGTGTGAAAGCGGAATTGTATGAAACAATTAAACAGCACAAACCTGCGAACATTAGTTACGTGACTGATGAGATGGCCCGTCAATGTGGTGTCACTGTGCTGCGGTTACCGCCCTACCACTGTGAACTGAACCCAATAGAGCTCATCTGGGCTCAAGTGAAGGGTTATATTGCTCGCCATAACACAACCTTCAAATTACCAGACGTTAAGGTTTTACTTGAGACTTCCATACAGCTAGTAACGCCCGAAGCTTGGCAGAATGCTATCCGTCATGTTGTGAAGGAAGAAACAAAAATGTGGCAGCTTGACCACCACATCGACACCATCATAGAGCCAGTCAATTTCAACGAGGAAAGCGATAGCGACAGTTTATTACTGTCAGGTGTAAGTGGAAGCGACGATGAATAAAGGTAATTCCCAAATTTTTGACTTACAATATGTTTCAAACCACTCTTTATTAAGCATGTGACAAATCTAGTTCACCCATGTTAAACATTTATGTCCCGCCTATGGACAGCCGACTACTGGTAGTTAAGTGATGTTCACGTGAACATCGATGAGTCATTACAGTTTTAGATAGTTATAGTATACACGCTTACACGCGTTCATCCGAAAATTGAAGTCATGTTCAGAATATGCGTGTATAATTGCCGTCTTGTAAGGATGAGAATGAAGATCATCATGAAGAATTCTCCTCACAGAACGATCGAAAAGCCCAAGGACAGACACATGTTTGCGCACAGGAAACGTATTTTTCGAGATATTTTGATCTATGCATACTTTTCGAAAACGTGTATACTTTCGCGGGTAAAACTATGACTATAAGCTTTTTCAGATTTCAATAAGCAACTGTATGGTAGTTTTCACGAGGATCTTTCACGTTTTGACTTCTACTGAGGTAAGCTGATTACAAAAGCGACATCGTTGTAATAGTCTGTAATGTTGGCAATGATGAATTTCAGGACCGTATTCAGAGCTGTTGTTCACATATCTGGAACATACTTTCGAGTGATTGCGAAATGTGACAATAAAATGTACGAAGAACCGATATAAAATATACTAAGTGACATATAAATCCGAACACCCAGTTTAAATGGTTTTATTTTAATAAAAGTTGGTGAATGTATTTATCTTAGTGTAAATAACAAGTGAACAAATTTTCAGCCTTATCAGTTGGACATTCCGGTTTTTATACTGCTTTTTTTTAATTCACTAACGCTCTAAAAATGAATATTTCAGCCGCAGTAAAGAATCAACGTTGGCGGATTTTGGTTCTTGACATCCTTTACGATCGGTTACGATGCCTAGAGTACGGAGACATGTACGATTTCGTCAACTTAGTGAGTTTGATAGGGGCCGTATAGTGGGACTTCGGGAAGCTGGACTTCCTTTTCGGGCAATTGCAGTTAGAGTGCAAAGAAGTGTAGACACTGTGGTTAGGTGTTGTCAGGCATGGCTTCGAGAAAGCCGTACGCAAAGAGCAAGGGGCACTGGACGCCGCCGTAGAACAACAGACAGTGAAGATCGCCGCCTAAGATTATTGGCCTTAAGGGACCGTTTCTCCACTACCAGGTCCATTGCAAATGAATGGTTTGCAGAACACGGAAGACCTATTGGCATGCGAAGTGTTTACCGACGAATGAGAAGTTTTGGCTTGTTTTCATACCGGCCACACTAGGTCCTCCCTTTAACTCGAGAACACCGACGTAATCGCCTTGAGTGGTGCAGACAACGGTCACTCTGGGATCAGGAATGGAACAGTATTGTCTTTAGTGACGAGTCTCGATTTTGTTTAGGCATGCACGATGGTCGTGCCAGGGTTAGAAGGCGACGTGGTGAAAGGAGGAATCCACAGTTTTTTGTTGAAAGACATGTTCATCACACTGTTGGAGTTATGGTTTGTGGTGCTATAGCTTATGGTTCCAGGTCACCTTTAATCTTTATCAGAGGTAACATGAACGCGCAGCGTTATATCCACGAAGTTCTAGAACCCCATCTTTTACCCTATGTTGACACCCTGGCAGATCCAACTTTCCAACAAGATAATGCCCGACCACATGTTGCAAGAGACACAATAGACTTCTTTCAACATAATGATATCACATTGTTACCATGCCCACCAAGATCTCCCGACTTATCCCCAATTGAGCACGTGTGGGATATGATGGGTAGGAGATTGCTCAATTTGCGACGTCCTCCTCAGACTCTAGAAGCACTTCTAGAGGAGTTGGTAGTTGCCTGGAATGAGATACCACAGGAGGACATTGACCACCTGATCAGAAGCATGCCTAAGCGCGTTGGAGAATGTGTAGCATATCAGGGTGCATCCACACATTATTAAAGGTCAAAGGGCTTTAAAGCAGTGCAATCATTTTGAAAATTTTGTCATTTTTTTATTATGCTTCATTAAGTACTTATACAAAATTTTATTAAAATAAAACCATTTAAACTGGGTGTTCGGATTTATATGTCACTTGGTATCGTTATTAGAAAATTATTATAGCATATATGGAATTTATTGATTACGAGGTAAGTCAAAAGAACAGACTTGCAGACAGAAGCTGTAATCTTTCCTGTAAAAATAATATAGACACGTACTTCTAGTTTATTGTGCGTCATTAGTATAGCATAATTCAGATAAAGGTTACAGGATAAAGGATAACGAATACAGCTTGTTGAAAACAATACACTGATGCAGAATGAACTGTTCTTGCACATTACATCAACCTGAAAATTACGTTAATCGTATTGCTGTTTCGTTGCCCTTTAAAATCATATGGTGTTCCAAGTTCTGGAAAGTAGAGATGTCAAAAACTGTTTATCATATTGTGACAAATAGTACGTTTGGCGCCATCTGTTGGGCGAGTCTCCTACTCGCCAGAGCTTCGTGCCCGCACAAGCCGCTTGGCGGCGTCTGTGAGGACAGTGACAGTGGATCGCCTTCTAGATCGACGCGAAGTGACCTCCAATATTCTAGATGTCGCTTTGTGGTTCACCAGACCTTTCTCGAAGCAGCAATGGGAGAGTACTGAATACGGTAGAGTAGCAGAGCGGAGTGGAGTAAAGTGCAGTCAATGACGACATAAGGATTAGTCAGACATAAGTAGTGCTGTATATAAATGTTTTATTAAGTTAAATAAATTGGTGCGTTTCGGTTTGTGGAATCCAGTGTTTTCATTCACACCCAGAAGAACCCAGAAAAACGCTACAGTATTTTATTCCCACCTGACTTGAAATGTAGTCATGATAATTAGCAGCCGTTTTACTTGTAGCGTTTTATATATGCAAATGAACTATTCTAAATAAAAGTACTGAAAACGACAAAAAATACGGATCTGACTACCTGGGGTTGACGGAGCCCTCAGAATTAAATGTGTGTCACTTCATCCTTACGTTTCTCTGCAAGGGAATTACGTATATTGAAAAGTGATTTTTTTGACATTGTATTGTTTTTTGTGATATTACGTAAGTTTTTCTACAAGATGTTAAACTCAGCAATAGGTGATGGACACTTGTGAATTCGTTTTGTAGATGTACGTATTGCCTAAACGTCTTGGGGCTTCAGTTATCAATGTTTGGCTCAAATAAACTTATTTGAGATTCAAAGCTAGCAATTAGTTGCACATCCGCTTTTTCTCATCCATTCTGGAAATTACATATGGAAATTTGCTGAATTTCAACAATGAGAGAGACAAGAAAGAATTATGTCCACTTTATTTGCAAGTCATATTCATGCTAACAGTATACTTCCTTGGTAGCACCTTCAGATCTTCTCACACACCAAATATCACTGATTTTATACACAGCAGACCAATACACATAATCATCCAGCTGCGATTATGCTCTTCAACCAACTTTCTTCACAGAGATGAAAACTACTGTTTGCTGGGCTTCACAAGACATATGCAACCAACAGTGCGTGTACTCGAGTCATTCCTCCATAGATGGACGTTCACAACGATCCTAGTGAGTAATCGTGGAACGACTGTTTGCACCCTAAAAATTACCTAGCCTGCAAGATGACGTTTTTTTTTTGATGTTTTATAGGTTTTTTACATAATACCCTGCCGTATTGTGTTCAGAAGTGATACAGATAGACTGGACAGACATTCGCATTTATAGATATAGATTATCGATTCACCTTTATAAAGGGTTGTCCAATAGGGACGCAGGAAAGTAAACGTCAATTTGACATAGACGCCATCTTTGTCTTCTGTCAACGACATGTCATTTTGTTAGTTGAATGTTTACCATTGATCGCTATGGAGTCGTATTCGATTGAAGACCGCATTAAAGTTATTCAAGAGCACTACAAAAATGGTGCAAAAACAAAAAACACGTTTCGCGCGCTTCCTGAACATTTCGGTCGCAACAAACGCCCAAACGAAACAACCATCGGTCGTCTGGTGCGTAAATTCGAGGCAACAGGTTCTGTGGCAAATCTGCCAGGCTCTGGCCGGCCAAGGAGCGTTCGCACACCGGAAAATATTGCTGTTGTGAAGGAGAGTGTGAGAGACGATCCGAAACAGTCAACAACGCGTCGATCCCAAGAATTGGGCATTTCGAGAACCAGCTTGCTCCGCATTCTCCACAAGGATTTGAATGTACACGCCTACAAGATGCAATTGACGCAAGAGCTGCGTCGGGCCGACCATTTTTCGCGCCGAACGTTCTCAGATTGGCTCCTTGAACACCGCCAAATTGATGCCAATTTTTCATCAAAAATCATGTTCAGCGACGAAGCGCATTTCACTTTGAATGGGACGGTAAACAAGCAAAACTGCCGCATCTGGGCGAACGAAAATCCCCGTGAGTATCAAGAGCAGCCGATGCATCCTCAAAAAGTGACTGTGTGGTGTGCATTGTGGTCAAAAGGCATCATCGGACCTTACTTCTTCGAAAATGCGGCCGGGGACACCGTTACCGTCAATTCTGAGCGATATCACGTGATGATAGAGGACTATTTTTTGCCGTAACTTGATGGAATGGATATGGATGATGTTTATTTCCAACAAGACGGTGCAACATGCCACACAACCAAGGTCAATATCCATCGATTGCAGTCCTTCTTCAGTGATCGCGTGATTTCGCGCAGAGGAAATGTGCCATGGCCACCAAGATCGTGCGATTTGACTCCCTTGGATTTCTTTTTATGGGGATATTTGAAAAGCAAAGTCTACGTCAACAAACCAGCCACCCTCCAAGAACTCAAAAACAACATCATTTCCTAGATAAATGCCATAGAACCGACCATGTTGCAAAATGTCATTGAAAATTTCGATCATCGCGTGGACGTCTGTAAATCCAGTCCTGGTGAATATTTGAACGATATTATTTTTCATACATAAATGGTATAAATGAACCTTCAAAATAAAGTACCCAACTTGATTTCAATATCAATATTTCTTGTTTTAATATGCGTTTACTTTCCTGCGTCCATTTTGGACAACTCCATATAATGTCAGATTTACATTGGTCTGCAATTTTCTGTACGTCAATGGCTGGTCTGATTACCGTCTGATATTTTCCACAACTGCGTAAAACTATGAGATATTAATAATTTCAGTTATCAAACATTGAATTGCTGGTTAATGTGCTAAGAATAATGAATGCTATTGCAACATATTTTGCGGGGCGCCAACTGAATAATTTTCCATACACTCGAACATTGTTTTTATATACAAACATATATTACCCTTTACGTGATAAGTTTGTACGTATTTTGATAAACAAGCGCATCTGGCTTCTAAAAATGGCATTATTTATTACTGTCGGGCTATTTCTGGCGACGGAATTTTCGTGACGTATTTTATGATATATGATTCACAGACAGTAAGTACCTCTTACTGTTCAAGTATTACATTATAAGACAACAGTGATGCAATAAGTACTTTGAATACACAATCTTTTGGTGCCTAAAATTTTATGAAATATTCCAAGGATCCTGTCAATTGCGCTCTTTTAGACCCGATATAATTGGTACTTTTAAAGTCAAATGGCACCTGAGTCCTTTGCAGCTTTGTTAGTGGTATATTCTGATAGTATCGGGGTTCTGTTATTAACTACAGGGACAAACCCTGTATAGCATAAGATTAATGCAACACGTACAACATTGACCATCAATATGTATTGACGGTCCATATCGGAGATTTCTACATATTAACTATGACGTTTCATGCTTGTTTGCAATAATCAGTACGGTAGGGGAAACCCGGGACACTTGATCCGTTTTTCACATGAGAGCATTGCCACGCCTTTGTTTTATACACAAGAGAAATGGTGGTGTGATTCCTCTTCCTTTTTTTAATGAATTAATGCATAAGTAAATAAGACATGATGAATGAAATCTAAGGGTCAGTCAATGCAAAACATCTGTCAAGTTGCGTGCAAATTTGGGCCCTAGCTCAATAAAGCGGAGAGTAGTGGGGGTTAAGAGCGTCAGTGACTTAAGCCTCAACAGTGACCTCACAGTCTCAGGGAACATTTGGCCCGAGGTGATCCAATTGTTATTATTATTATCATATTTCGCGTTTTTAGTATTACTATTTTAATAAATAAATTTTAAATACCTTGGAGTGGTCTTGGATCCTCACTTACGATGGGACATCCATGTCAATTATATTTTAAAGAAAGTTAGATTTATATCCTACAAAATTAAATACCTTGGGAATATATTGACAGAAAAATATTTTCGAACATTATACCATGCACTGATTGAGCCTCATCTCACATATGGTATATTAGCATGGGGAGCTGCATGTTCCTCACATATTTATAATTTAGATGTTTTTCAAAAAAGTATTCTGAAAATGATATTTAAAAAACCGAAACTTTATCCCACTGAAAAATTATACGCAGATGTTCGAATGTATGATATAAGACAGCTTTATTTCTTACACAGTATCACTCACTACCATAAATTTGTAAACACCGACCAAAAAATTAAACATAATCATTATACCAGGTACAAAATTCGTGGCACAGGAGTTCCTCAACCGCATAAATCTATAATGCAGCGATCATATCTCTATTTAGCGCCTAAATTTTATGAAATTATACCTAAAGACTTATAAGATTTACGTTTCGGAAATTGTTTCAAAAGAAATTTAAAAAAGTGGCTACATTCTATATCTAGGACTGAAATTCATAAACTCATGAATACGAACATCAACTAAATACATAATCTACTGTAGATAATTTTTGTCCTTTTTGTCATTTGCATTCTACAGTTTCAACTTAAATTTATTGGTCCATGTACAGGCGATGCCTTCTATTGGGCCTGTTTTGATTTTATATTTATTTACTCATATTTTTTGTTATCTTTGTACATTGAGTGAATAAATATTATTATTATTATTATTATTATTATTATATTATTTCCATTATAATAGTCATTATTAAAGAATGATTTCTCCTCGTCATTAGTGATGGGGCAAACATGGGCGTCAACAAGAAGTCAAGACATTTGCCCCAGCACAGTATATGTGCGGTGCCTAAAAGCGCAATTTTCTGTAATTCAATCGCCCTAGGATATCCCGGTAACATTTGGAGCAGGGTTTCTTAAGCGGTGGTTCGCGAGCTATATGAATGGGGTTCGGGAAAAAATTACGGTAATGGCGGAATTTGTCCTCAATATTGCAACACCGCCGCTACAACAATCCGGCAAGAGTTCTACTTCGGCGAGTCGAGCGCACCGAGGCCTATCTGAGAATCCACTGGAAAGAACGAGAATAACATCACAGACACGGAAGTACGAGTACAGTCGAACACGCTTCGTGAGCCGTACGCATGTCGAACGTGAAATTAAATAAATATAATAATATTCTGTAGATTTAAGTTGGATGATTGGTTAAAAGACGGCAGTTTTGTGAACTCTGACGAATCAGGCCAGATGAGCAATCAACTACTGCTTCTTCTTCGGTTCCCGAGTCCAACACAGGGTGGTGATCTTGAAAGTTATAGTGAGGTACCATCTCGACAGAATAAAAGTAATGAGAAAATAGACAAGCATGGTGAAAAAAGCACAGAAACAGAAATACGACTATTTGCAAATGAGTTTTTATTTCACCGGGGAAGAGTCAGAACCTAAACTGTTTTCTGTAATTTGTAATGAAGTCCTGGCCAACAGTAGTTAACCATCGCTTCTTCGTCGGCACATTGAGACAAGACATCCGGATTACAAGGATAAACCTATTGAATATTTTAAAAGGAAATTGAAAGGTAATAAGAATTGTAGTGTTTCTTCTTTCCTGTCGGCTTCCCACGCAGATAGTAAAATGGCTCTTGAAGCATCGTTTCGAGTTAGTTACAGACTCGCAAGATCTGGAAAAGCTCATACAGTGGCAGAAAATTTCATCGGACCTTGTGCTAAAGACATCGCAATGTGTATGCTTCGAGAAAAAGTGGCAAAAAATTGACCTTGGGCCCTTATCAAACCGTACTCTGTCACGGAAAATTAACGATTTGGCGAACAGTGTTGAAAGTAAAACTTTTAAAAGAATAAACTTCAATTATTTTGATATTTAGCTTGACGAGCCCACCGAACTGCAAACTGTGCAGTATTGCTCGTGTATGTAGGATATATTTTTAACAATTCCATTTAGGAAGATGTGTTATATGCAAAACCACTGGAAACTTATACGACTGGTGCAACAATGTTAGAATGGACTCACTGCTGTATTCATAGACAAGCATGGGCATGTAAGCGTATTCCTGCAGAGTTAGCCAGTACTTTAAGCGAAACTGTAAAAGTTGTGAATTTTATAAAGTCCCGTGAAACAAATTTTCGTCTAATCCGTGAATTTGGTGAGGACCTGGGAAGTCTCCACGTCTCTTTATTACTTCATACAGGAGTTAGGTGGTTTTCTCGTGGCAAAATTTTGACTTGCTTGTTTGATTTATTGTTGACCCTCCATTTCATTTGTCGCTTCTGTATCCGACATTCTGTGGCTCCAAAGCTTGCATACTTGGCCGATCTTTTTTCTAAATTAAATAAACTAAATACGTCTTTACAAGGTCCAGGAATCACCATTTTCAATGTTCATGATAGAATAGAAGCTATGCTAAAGAAGATCAACTTTTGTAATCAATGTCTGTAGACGGATGAGTACCATTGTTTTGGTTTTCTCAGCAGCTTGTTATCAGAGAATAAAATTCAACTTACCGAAAACATTAAAAGAGATATTACTGAACATCTCAAACAACTTCAATTAACGTTCAAAGAGTATTTTCCTAATAAACCTGGATCAAACAACTGGATATGCAATCCTTTTTAAGGAGATATAATTTTTAACACTTCTTTTTCTTTATTGGAAAAAGAAAAGCTCTGACAATTCTCTAAAAGTTGTTTTTGCAGATCATTCTTTGATAGACTTTTGGCTCAATGTAAAAAATGAATACCCTCCTTACCCAAAAAAAGCCATGACTATTTTGTTACCGTTCTGCATAACGTATCTGTGTGAGGAAGGATTCTGTGTGGAGATTAAAGCATCCCACAAACCGGCGCGAAATATTCGCTTTGGCTGCGAAAATTTCGCGGCGATGAATTCGCGATCAGATTAAAACGCGGCGGTTTACGGACAGGCTCAGACTTGTGCGAAGCGAATGCGATTGTTCCAGCGTTTCTATCGCGGCGTATTTCAGTTCGCCTTTGACCGCGTTTTTGACGCCGTTCTTCAAAAATTCGCAATGGCGAAAACGGAATTATTGATAGAAATAGTGAAAAAGTATCCTTGTTTGTATGATTTGCCGAACGATGATTACAGGAATGTGAGAAAGAAAGACAAGATTTGGATGGAAATAGGAATAGAATTAAATACAAATGGTATGTACCTAATATTTTCTATTAACTTGTTAAATAATTTACAGTCTACACAAATGTGAAAACGAACATTCTATATATTGGGCATAGGCATATCAGAATTAAAATAATTTACGAATTTGTCACGAGTAGAAAATGTTAGCCTTGCTGCCCGCCGAGGATCATTTGCTATATCAGTAAAAGCTCCAAGCACGGGTTCTAGGGATCTAAGAATTGAAAATATTTGTCATCGCCACTTTTACTTCGTAAAAAATTGTGTAAAACACATGCCGTACGTACAATTAGAATAGTAGTATCTACTTAGTTTCTAATGGCCTGTAAAATATTCGCCAATTTTGAGACAAAATACCAAACGCATTTTCCACGACCCTTCTAGCTCGACAAAGTCTTACATTGTATTTCTCTTTTCTGACGTCTGTTCAAGTCTGCTTATAAGGAAATGGTCTCATAAGGTATGGTTTTAAAGCAAATGCTTCATCATCAATTAAGACGTACGAGCAGATTTCATTTCGCCCAGGGAGAAATCTAGGTGCAGGGACACTCATTAAATTTTGTTCAAATCGTTTTCCCATGTTTGAGGTTTCGAAAATACCCCCATCACTATTTTTTCCGAAACCACCAATATCAGCACATATAAATTTATAGTCCGGGCCAACAATGGCCATAAGTACTATTGAATATTTATGTAAATAGCACCAGTAATTGGAGCCACTGTTGTTAGGTCTCTTGATTGTTACATGTTTACCGTCCACGCTGCCAATGCAATTGGGAAATCCCCATCTATTTTCAAATTCTTCAGCACATTTTTTCCATATATTCTCTGTTGGTTCTGGTAAATATATATCCTCCTATATGTCTGCATATCGCTTCACAGACATCGGTTACGATTGCACTCACTGTTGTAAAGCCAACTCGAAAGCTATGCCCAATGGTATCGAAGGTGTCACCAGTGGCAAGGAATCTATAAAAAAAATCGTTTTTAGGTGATGAAGTAAAAAAAAGGTGGAAGAATATCAGAGACACATTTGCAAAATATATAAAATCTACCAAACCAAAGACCGGCCAAGCAGTGGGCAACATAAAAAAATGGCAGTGGGCTGACTACATGGAGTTTTTCCGTCCTTTTTTGGCATTTGCCAAAACGTCGTCTAATGTGAAAGATATTGACGTCATACATTGTGAGACTGCCGAATTTAACTCAAATATATATCAGGAAAGGGCTGGAAATGTAGAAACCGAAAATTTGGAAGACCGCGGCCATGGAGAAGATGAAAATGCTGATGTAGATGCAGAAGATGCACAGAACGCCTCAGCAACACAGACAGCACCACCTTCTTCATTGAACACTACAGCAGTGACTACTCCAGGGCACACCTTTCCGCAGACTGCAACTGCACCAAAATATAAAACGAGCAGAAAACGCTATGAACCACCATCTTCGTCTGTACAACAGCTCATTAATTATTTTGAAGGTAAAAAACCTAAAAAAGAGAACGAGGCCATTGAGTCACTTGTCTTGGCACATGCACAGACTGTGAAAACACTTCCCTTAAAGCGTCAAGCCCGAATAAAACTAAAAATAGCCGAATTAATAGCGCACGAAGAATTTTAACATATTGAAGAAATGTCTTCAGCGTCTACCCAAAATTCTGCAAGTATGTATGATAGTAGTAAGTCGTCCTTCCCAAGCGGCACTGGGTTTACTCCAATAATATACCCAACAGAGGAGGCAAATTCTGCCTCGAATTATTTAGCAACATTTAATCCTAGTGGCAACATGTAGTCCAATTATTACAATAAAATATTTATTTCACGATCCCTGAAGTTTTCGTATTCGATAAGCCTACTAATTTTAATACATATAATTTTTTTACCTGAGTGTAATAGCAAGTCGTTCTTCTGGCGAAATAGCTTCACGATAATTTGTGTCAGATTTTCGTATTTCATCTTTCACCAAGTTCAATATTTCATCGAAACACTCTGGAATCATTCTAAAATATACGTAAAAGCGCTGTTCATCCAGCCGAAGTTGTGGCATCAAGGTATGGTATTCCCCAAATTTATTTCGTTTCAAGTTAATATCATGTACCCACTTCCTTCGTTTCCTAAACAAAATTGAAAATATTTGTTTTATGTACTTCGTTAAACTTAATACATACCCAACTATCAAATGGCGTTAAATAAACATAACTTACCGTGCATTTTGTTCCTCTTCTAAAGCAAGAAATAGAAGTGCCTCATCTTCTTCTGAAGACGAGCTCATTGCAAAAGGCAAAAATAAAATGTACGCAACCTGTCGAAACCTTCACGTTCGCGGAGCGAATCTGACGCTTTGGTATGAATAAACAGGCGAAACAGATTGCGAATTTCGCTCTAAATTTCGTTGCGAATACTTCGCCGCGATTATTTCGCGCCGGTTTGTGGGATGCTTAACAGAGACTGTCCCTTCTACAGATTTTACTACTAGTATTATGCACACCTCTGATAGTTTCCAAATATTTTCGATTTCTATGGCACAGTTTTGATACTTTGCAGCCTTGGTGTATTCGGTTTTAATTATGTTTGCTGTGAGTGGCACTGCGATGTCGATTATGTATGCTTTCGGTTTATTTTGATCGATCAGTAGTACGTCTGGCCGGTTATAGTCAACTGTGTTATCGGTTATGACTGGCCTATCGCAGTACAATAGGGCCGACTGACTCCAGAGTACTGGGAATGGTGTACCTATATTTATAATATTGCGAGGTTGACTCGATGAGATTATAGTTTAGAGCTAACGTTGAGTGCATTATTTCGGCTTCTTGATTATGCCGATTGTTACTACAGGGTGGGGCAAAAGTCACGAAGGGATTTGAAAAATTAATAACTTTTTTAAATTTATTTTGTTTTCATTTTTTTTTTCAGGACCGTGTAAAATAAATCCTGGAGATTAATTATGGAGCGTTACAACCTCAATCAACGAACCAAACTTATAGAATTTTATTTTGAATATCACCATTCATTAATTCAAACTCAACGAGCATATCGTCGTCATTTCAATTTGCGGAATTCGCCCTCTGAATCAATGATTCGACGCTTAGTGGCACGATTTCAGCAACAAGGCACAGTTATGGATCTCCCACGAAGCGGAAGGCCACGTTCCGCAAGAAATGAAGGGAACATTCAACGCGTTCAGGAGAGTGTTCAGGAGAATCCGGAAACCTCAACCCGAAGACGTTCTGCTGAGCTGCAGATGTCTCAAAGGTCTTTACGCAGAATATTAAGAGGAAATTTACATCTGTTTCCATATAAAGTGCAGCTAGTGCAAGAACTAAAACCAGCAGATTTTCAAGAACGACTAACTTATGCAGTTCGCTTGCAAAGAATGGCTCGAGAAGATAATGAATTTATTCATTCTCTGATCATGAGCGATGAAGCCCATTTTCATTTGAATGGCTTCGTAAATAAGCAGAACTGCAGAATATGGGGTACCGAGAACCCAAGGGTGGTTCATCAAAGGCAATTACATCCGCTTAAATGTACAGTATGGTGCGCAGTTACGTCTCAACGAATTATTGGACCATTCTTCTTCGAAGACCACGATGGGAATGCTGTATCTGTAGATGGCGACCGATATCGTGATATGATTCAAAATTTCTTAAGACCAGCTCTTGCTGACAATCAAACGATGACTTTCCAACAAGATGGAGCCACTGCGCATACTGCTCGAGCCACTATGCACCTTCTAAGGCAGATTTTTGGCGAACGTTTAATTTCGAGAAATTCAGGATTCAATTGGCCCGCCCGCTCGCCGGACTTAACAGCCCCTGATTATTTCCTTTGGGGATATCTGAAAGGAAAAGTGTATATTAATAAACCCACAACCCTGCAGCAACTAAAAGATAATATTCGAGCAGAAGTAAGTGCTTTGGGGCCAGATATTCTGACTCGGGTAATGGAAAATGCTCTTGCAAGAGCTGCACTTTGCGAGGCTGAAAATGGCGGTCATTTGCGTGATGTAATCTTTCACACTTAAATTGTAAACAAACTCCAAACATTGCATTTTAGTTTTGTGTTAGGGAAAAAAATTAAAATTAAAATTTAAAAAAGTTATAAATTTTTCAAATCCCTTCGCGACTTTTGCCCCTCCCTGTATTATACTATCATTATTATCTATCTTTGACGTGAGAAGTAAAAACGGGCGGCCCTACCCCGTACACTGCTTCCGACTTTTCCACATGGCGCCATCCCACTTCCGTAGCAGATCCCGTACAGCGCCTGTCCGCCACTCCGGGAAAATCAATATGGCGGTCGGGAATCCGGGCACTTTCTGGCACAGTGCGGTTATGTTCGCGGTCGAGAGGGCTCCGGGCCTGGCGTGGGCACGACTCCGGTGAAGAGACGATGCTCGAATGAAGTGAAGATGCATTTGCATTTTGAGCGCACTGTCAGCGCCAAAAGCGATTGCCCCATTTT